TGGAAGCCAGGAGGTAGATGAGATGAGGGATGTAGCCTAAGGTATGACAGCCCTCTAACACCTCTTGCTGGTGTTAGATTATAGTTAGTTAAATTTGTTTCCTCTCCCTGAGACTCTTTTCTTGGTCAAGAGGCCCTTCAGAAAGTTGGGGCTTTATTTCCTGTTCTTCAACTAGAGGGAATTATTCACTCACCCTTCCTCAGACTTGACTGTCTCTTTCCTGGGATCCAGCTCCATGAGAGAGTTGTGACACAAGTTGGTAGGTAATAAGCCAACACATAACTAAGAAACATGTTTACTGATCTCAGCTATGCAGAAGGCACTGTTCTAGATACTTTCATGCAAATTATTTCATATAGTCCACTTGTCTACCCTGAAATTGGCTTTATTACCCATTTTGAGATATCAGAATTGAAACTAGAAGTTAGGTCATAGAGGACCTGCATTTAGGACTTGACTCTTGATAACACCACGTCCTCAACTCGGTGTTCTCCCCTCTGCTTCCTTGCTTAACACTTTAAACCATGGATGTTTCTCAAACTTTACTGTTCGTAGGAATCAACCTAGTGAGTTTGTTAAACTACAGATTTGGGTTTAGTAGGTCTGAGGTGAAACCCAAGATTCTGCATTTCTGACAAGCTCCAGGTAATGGTAATATTGCTGGCCAGGCAGTCATATTTTTTAAATAGCAAGGTTTTTATGTACCTTTACATATATGTCCTTGTTGGAACCTTAGGGTCAGACTTTGGAGCCCAGTGCTTGAGTGTTGTCCTAGATGTGGAGAGGGAAGGGGAAACAGGAGTAGCTTTGCTTTAGATGTCTCCATTATTTAGTGACGCAGCTGGGACTGGAGCCCAGATTTCCTTCCCTGACTCCAAGCCGTGCGCTCTGTCTTCTACATCGTCAGGTACAGTTATCCTAACCTGAATTCTTCTATCCATATGATTGTTTTCAAAATCCTTCCCCCTAGGCTGCACAGTGAGCCAAAATATGACTGAACTTGACATTGAAGAGTGCTGGAAAGTAGCCATACTATTTACTTTTCTGTGTTTATTAAATAACAAATACAGAGCACTTGGTGCTGTGTGCCAGGCGTGATCGTAAGTGCTTCATAAATATTGACTTAATTCATCCTCCTAGCAGTGCTTTGAGGTGGGTTCAACTATTTCCATTTTACAAATATTTTCTCAGGTCCTTTCTCTCTCCTCCTTCTGGGACCTGTGTAATGCGAATGTTGGTGCATTTAATACTGTCTCAGAGGTCTCAGACTGTCCTCATTTCTTTTTACTTTTTTCATTCATGTCTTCAAGCTCACTTATGTGTTTCTTCTGTGTCACTTATTCTGCTATTGAGTCCTTCTAGTGTATTTTTTATTTAAGTTATTGTATTGTTTATCTGTTTAACTTTCCTGGTGGCTCAGATGGTAAAGTGTCTGCCTACAATGTGGGAGACCTGGGTTCGATCCCTGGGTAAGGAAGATCCTCTGGAGAAGGAAATGGCAACTCAACTGCAGTATTCTTGGCTGGAAATTCCCATGGACAGAGGAGCCTGATGGGCTACAGTCTGTCGGGTCTCAGAGTGGGACACGATTAAACTTAAACTTTATCATTCTTTAGTTTGTTGTTAAACATTCATAGTGTGTTGATCAGTGCCTCTATTCTTTTTCCAAAACCTTGGATCATCTTTACTATCTTTACTCTGAATTCTTTTTCAGGTAGATTGTTTACATTTTAGAGATAAAGAAATTAAAGTACAGAAAGATTAAATGACTTGGCTAGGGTCACACAACCAGAAGTATAGTAGGAACAGATATACTACCTTCACTTTGGAGCTACATAGCCATGCTGTTCACACACTAGCATTATTTTTGCCAGTTGGAGATCTGGCTAAGAAGTGTTGCAGATGGAGATTAGGGACAGTTGAGATCAGCTCTCCTCAAGTTACTTTGCGGTGCCTCATTAAATGGTAAAGACACTCTCTACAGAGGAAATTAGGGCTTTGCTGGTGGTGGAAGCATGGCGATATTTCCATCCGATGCCTTTAAATGATGTTGCATTCTTATAGCCTTGTTAGTTGGCTTTCCACCCTTTTCTTTCTGATTTTCTTCTTTTTTTTTTTTAACCTTAAGTGAAGTAAAAAGAGAGGGAAGCTCATTGATTCTAGTAGTTCTCTCTCCTAAGGGGGAAAAACTGTTTTTGTTATACAGGCATATTGGTGGAATAGAGACCTCCATTCTGAGAGAATTTCATTTTCATCTTAAGATCAGGCTTTCATTCTGTCAGCTTAGCTTGGATAGATTTTTTTTCTTTGCCTAAGATTTAACCTTAGACTATTCTTATAATGTCTTCCTCTTGCCAGTGAAGCAGCCAGCCATTTTAGAAACTTAAAGATGTTTTAGAAGTGAAAAAATTATCATTGTGGAGAGATTTCAACTTCTTTTTTCTCTCAGATGGTATGTTCCCCTATAGCTTCTTTCAGAGCAAACCCAGATAACCAACTACCCACAATTAAGGGGTCTGCTGAGTGCTGGTGTGGTCTCCAGGAGATGGGGCTTCTGTAATAGGGGATCTGTGGGACCGCGGCGCATGGAGTAGCTTGAACATGGAAGGTGCTGTGGAAGAGCACTTTGAACCCACTCACGGTTTTCCCTTGTTCACTTTTTGATGACTAGTAAGATAAAGGAAATAGTTATTTCTTGAGTGCTGGGTCCGCTCCCGTTCACCCCGTGTAGGATGAACAGGCTAAATAGCTATTGTGCTGTGTACTTTCTGCCCAAGTGGTCCTCAGTGAGTTAGAGGAGGTTCTTTAGAAAGTTAATGAGAGGAGTCTCAAGCAGTCCTCATTAGTGATTTGAGGCCTTCCCCCTTTGTTTTAGGGCCACATTAGCTTGCCTCGTGCTCTCTGAATTTAGCTTTGGATATTTTTGCCTGGGAAATCCCATGGACGAGGAGCCTGGCAGGCTACAGTCCATGGGGTCGCAAAGAGTCAGACACAACTGAGTGACTTCTCTTTCTTTCTTTTGATTCTTTTTAAAATAAAGTTTTCTGAAGGATCTCTTCCCTTTTCATTTCCTCCTCCTGCCCCAGCAGAAAGAGGGGCATGAAATTCTAACAGCCTCGGGCACTACTCAGCCTCACCTTAAGCATGCGGTGTTTTGGAATTTATACATTACCACTAGTTCAAATGCTTTCCAGCACAATCAGACAGCAATGCAATACAGTCGGCCCTTTGTATCCATGGGTTTTGCACCTGTGGGTACAACAACTGCAGATCAAACATATTTAATTCCAAAAAGCAAAACTTGCATTTGCTTTGTGCTGACTATTGGCATAGCATTTACTTTGTATTTCCAACTATGTAGCATTTACATTGCTTTAGGTATTATAAGTGATTTAGAGTTAACTTAAAGTATATGGGAAAATATGCATAGGTTATATACAGATCCTACAGATCCAAGTTTATTTAAGAAACTTGAGCTTCCTCAGATTTTGGTATCTGTTGAGGGTGGGGAGGTCCTGGAACCAATTCCCCCTTGAATACCGAGGGATGACTGTAGTTACTTTAAAAAGTGTGTCTGACCTTTTGGCAAAAGGAGACGTATAGACTTGCTGCATGGTTTGTGTGTGTGTGTGATCTTTAGTTTGCAAAGTGCTTCCACATCCATTGTAATTTAATCATCACAAGACAGCCCTGTGGGATATAGTGGGTATCAGCCCCATTTTATAGATGAGGACCCTGGGGCTTATTTTTACTATTCCTTTTTATCTTCAAAATAATCTTGTGAAGAAAAGTCAGCCTCCTTGCCTAAAGTCCTTACAACTTGGTAGTAGTACAACAGGTTGTCTTTTTCAAAGGCAGTGTTGAACTTTCTGTTGCAACTCAGCAATCTTCATAGAAAGTTGTGTTTCTTGGGGGGAAAAAAAACTATCTCTAAATGTAGAAAAATATAGCCTAGCTACAAAATATGGAAGCAATCTAAGTGTCCATCAAGAGATGAATGGATAAAGATTAGTGTGTTAGATACACTATTCTACTAAGCCATAAAAAGAATGAAATTTTACCATTTTCAGCAACATGGATGGACCTGGAGTGTACCATGTGAAGTGAAATAAGTCAGAAAGACAGATGCTGTGAATCACTTACATGGAATTTAAAAAAGAAAACTAGTGAATATTACAAACAAGAAGAATACACATAAGAGAATAAACTCACGGGTTCCGGTGGGGAGAGGGGAGCGGGGCCGTAACTGTAAATGGGATGCGACCTTCGAACAGTGTGGGTCACACTGCGTACCTCAGACTTACAGAATACTGCGCATCAGCTGTGCCTCAGTGTAAACAAATGTGTTTGGTAAGGTGTGTAAGTGGTAACTCTCAGCGTCTGCTTCCCTGAAATGTCTTTATTTCACCTCCTTTAAGAGTTTCTTCTTTCTCACCTGGGTACACAAGTCTAGTCATTTCTCTCAGCATGTTGAAGCTGACGCACCGGTGTTCTAGTTCCCGTTGCTGCTTTGGAGCGCCCGGCTGTCACCTCGTAGATGCTCTGTCTCCCGCATGCTTCCTCCGGGGGCGTCCCCTCCGGCCTCCCCTCGCCTGGAGCTGCAGTGCTGCCAGAGGACCCGGGCTGAGGGGAGGCGACCAGCCTGCTCACGGCGCCCGTCCCTGTCCCCGTTGCTCTTCTCGGCGCCCCTCAGAGCTACGGAAAGCTGCAGTTTTGAAGGGCTGGACACTTTAACAGCTGCCTCTCTGCCGTTTGCTTCATGCCTCACAAAGCCCAGCCCTTAGAACCCAGGTGATGGGAGAGGCTCTTCGGGGAGTGCTGATGAAGCTGCTGCCTCCAGACTGGAATTTTTCCCAGGTCGCTCAAGGCCTCACACAGCTTTCATATGTCAGACTGTCCATAGAGGCTAAGATACAGAAGCTGAGTCATTGCAGTTCCTTGTTAATACCTAGGAAGGAGGACGATGCATAAGGTTTGTGCTTTTGTTTTGTTTTTTGCAGAATGCATCCTGTCTTGTTCTCGCTGCCCGGCATGCGAGTGCTTCTTCCACGGTAAGGTTCGGAAAGGGGACTGAGGGTCAGGGAGGCAGCCGGACCCTGGGTGGGCTGCCATCCAGGCTCTTAGCACTATCCCGAGTGTCTCACGGAGGTGACCAGGACTCTTGTTACGGCCATTATCACTACTGCTATTTTAAGATAGCTAAATCACTGTGGACATGATAAGGACTGTGGGATTTTGGCTGGAAAAAAGTAGCTCTATGATGTACTTCAGCGAAAGTGCCATTCTCTTCACCGACTATTCAAAGCGTTCTGTCTCATAAAAGGAAATGCTGGGGCTTATGGTATTCATTAGAAAGTAGACTATTCTCAAGTTTATAGTTTAGGGGTAGTTAAGTAATTCACATTATTGTGCAAACATCATCACTATTCATCTCCAAAACTTTTGTCTTCCCAAATTGAAACTGTACCCATTAAACAACTCCCCATTCCCTTCTTCCTCTAATTCTTTTACCCTCATCTGTACAGAGTAGTTGACCAGGCTTCCCTGACAGAGAAAGCCAAATTCTAAAAATCAGTCTTAACATATCAACTTTGCAGAAATATAATCAATATTTTGATCATCATTTAGCCTTTCTACTCCTCTTTTTAGAATTTGAAAGACATATTGGCTGATTTGATACCTAAGGAGCAGACCAGAGTTAAGACCTTCAGGCAGCAACATGGCAAGACAGTGGTGGGCCAGATCACGGTGGACATGGTAAGGGGGTGGGCTTTTGCCTGGAAGAGGAGCTCGGTGCTTTGCCAGAAGCACCACTCCCTTCACTGACCGTTCAGAGCATTCTGTCCCATATAGGGAGATGCTGAAGCTAATGCTGTTTGTTAGAAATTAGACTGTTCTTTTCTACAGATTTAATAGTTGAGGCTAACCTAATTTAGGTATGGGAAAAGATGAATGAAGTTTCTATTACTTTTCCCAACCCCTCAGCTTTTGGGCCCAAGGTTCTCTGTCTCTGAGTTGATGCTGTGTGGATCATCCAGTTAGACCATAGCTCTAGCTGGCCTTATAGAACAGCTTTAGGATGGTTTTTTTCTTCAGTTCTGAGAATCTCAGCAGCTCAGATGATAATTTCATAGCACTGTTTAGCCATCGGTCTCCATCTTCTTTCCCTATAGTCAATCCCATTCTGTTTACTTTGGTTGATGGGAATGAGGAGGGGAGAAGAGCAGGCAGGAGAAAAAAATGACAAAAGGGAGCACAGGCAAAAACACTAACTAAAGATAGTGATTTCTCAACTTACAAAATTCATTTCCAGCATTAGCAGTCTTCCTTTCAAAATTACATCCTATAGAAAGTTAACCCAGAAATCTCCCAAAGTTTTGCAAGTTAGAGACTAAATTTCCTCCCCCAGATCCCATGAAGCTCTAAGAATCTCCTGCCTGAATTATTTGGACAACTTGTTACATCCTCTTCTTTTCTTTAGATGTACGGTGGCATGCGAGGCATGAAGGGATTGGTATATGAAACATCAGTTCTCGATCCTGATGAGGTAAGAGACCTCCTGTCGATCACTGGTGATCACTGACCTTACTGAGTCAGGCACACCATGGATTAAATCTCTGAGGGTGAGGAGAACAAAGTGGGGCACATGCCTGTGCATTTTGGAAGGTGAAAATAGGTACATATGGAGTAGCTGCAGGATAACTTTACCTTTCAAATATATCAGCTAGTGAAAGTACAAAGCAAGAGTGAGTTACCTGAAGATGCACATTTGTTGACAGGTCTGAAGAAGCCAGATCAGTCAGTGTGATTTTTGAGCTAATCCTTACCCCTCTCCCTCAAGGGCATCCGATTCAGAGGCTACAGCATCCCTGAGTGCCAGAAGCTGCTGCCGAAGGCTAAGGGTGGGGAAGAGCCCTTGCCAGAGGGCTTGTTTTGGCTGCTGGTAACTGGACAGATCCCCACAGAGGAACAGGTGAGCAGAAGGACATTAGCCTTCTCATTCCCCTCCTTTGCCTTTTTCTAATCTCAAGCACTTAATCTTGTTCTGGTTATGGGTGATGGTTTGTAGAGGGGAGGGAAATCAGAGCAGAGTTCTGCTTTATAAGTGGACTGGATTGAAATCTCTTGGATTTGATTTACTTGAGGTCAGTGTTTTCATTTTCTTTATTTTTAATTTTTTATTTTGGACACACCAGGCAGCTTGCAAGATCTTAGTTACCATTTTGCAAGTTACTCAAGAGCCAGAGATTCAAGCCAGGCTCCCAGCAGTGAAAGCGCCGAGTCCTAACCACTGCACCACCAGGGAATACTCACTGTCCGTCTCTTCTTCTCCTTTTAGTTTTGGCTGTGCTGTGCGGCACGCAGGCTTTCTCTGGTTGTGGTGCGCGGGCTCTAGAGCCCATGCGCTTCTCTGTTCTCCAGTTGCGGCGGCTGGGCTTTGTTGTTCAGTAACGTGTCGGATCCTAATTCCCTTCCATGTCCCCTGCATTGGGAGGCAAATTCTTAACCACTGGACCACCAGGGAAGTCCCCTGCTGTCTTTATTTGTCTTCTTTTTCCTTGTCTAGTGTCATGAGCGATGTCTTCCTTTTCACAGGTATCTTGGCTCTCACAGGAGTGGGCAAAGAGGGCAGCCCTGCCTTCGCATGTGGTCACCATGCTGGACAACTTTCCCACGAACCTGCACCCCATGTCTCAGCTGAGCGCGGCGGTGACAGCTCTCAACAGCGAGAGTGGCTTCGCCCGAGCGTACGCAGAGGGCATCAACCGAGCCAAGTACTGGGAGGTAGGAAGCTGCTGCGACGACGGATGTTCGGTAGAGATTCAGAGGACCCGAGTGTGAAGAAAGAGAAAAGAATGACGGATCCTTAGGAAAATTACTACCCTGAGTTATGCCAGAGATTCGTTTAACAAAATTTTATTGTAGGCTTGCTTTTTATTGGTCATTGGAATTACAAAGATGAATGAAACATGCTTTCTATCACCAGGGTTATTGATTTTAGTAAAGGTGATACACATGTAAAAAAGAAATTACAGTTCAGTAATCTTGCTATAACAGAGGTATGTACACAGCACTGTTGGAACATTGAAAAAGGTGTGACTTAATTGCAGGCTCCCTGAGGAAGGTTTCACAGAGTAGACATACCCTGGCCCCAAAAGATCCTTTCTCCTCTTCTTCAAATGAGAACCTTTTTAAGTTGGAAGAATGGCACCTAAGGCAATTCTGGAGTCTAGGAAGGACCAATTGCAGTCAGCCAGTTTGGGCTAACCCACTCCAGATACCTGTCAGGAGTGGAAGGGTAGCTAGTATCCTGGAATTAGGATGCAGAAAGCAAATGAGCTTTCTTTGAAAACACAATGTGACTTTCCTAGTCTGAACTCTGTCGTGAGAGCATGAGGAGGTTGCTGGGCCTTGTCCTCGTGTGTAGGACACAGCTCCTTCCCTCCTCTCTCCAGTGCCTCACAAATCCTGGGTGAAGCGCCGTTTATCTGGCTAGGTCTACAGAAGGACATCTCTTTTTTGTTTGTTTGTTTCTTATTTAGAGACAGGTAGTATAGGAGTGGAAAAGTCCCTTTTGGCAAAGCAGATGCACTAAAGGATTTTTGACCAGAAAGCCCCTAAAGAGCTCACTGTGAGTTCATACTATTCATAGACTAGTATGGCCCACTTGTCTGATGAAATCTCCATGGGTTTTGGCAAATCCCACTCCATTTGATTGGTCAGTATTTACTCAGTGCCAGCTGTGTGTACAGAATTGAGTGCTCTTGAGGGAAAGAGGGAGAGAAAGTGTGCAATTGATACCAGTTTGGTTGGCTTTGAGGAGAAAGGTGTAGGAATGATGCAGACTGAACATATCCACAAGCATTTATGAAGTCACAAGTCAGCAGATTCAGAAGGTTGTGTAACCTGAATATATTGCTTTTCATTTTCTTTTTAAAATGCTGTTTCAAGTCATTGTTATCTGTGTGGGTCACCGTAGTGGAAATGGTTAAATCAAGCCCAACATTTCTTTTAAAACTTGTTTGTTAGAAACTGACCACTCAGGAGTGCCTGTTGCTACTTACGATGCGGTTGTGTTGACTGTTGGAGAGTTCTTCATACTTTGCAGTAAATACCTATAAGATATTTCCCAGTTATCCAAACAGGCTGCATTGCTTCACACTGTCCTTTATTGAATCAGGAAGATGAATCTTGTTCTCTGCTTGCTCTTGCCTCCGATTCGGTGGACAGCTATTGGTTGGTTGTTCTGCCACCTCTTGGGAGATGTCATTTGAGGGTGGCTGTCTTGAGGTAAAGATTATATTTCAGGACTTTACCAAGCTGGAGAGTATTTATAAGCATTACTGATATATCTGTCAGCCTCGGGATGTGTGTCTAATAAAGTTCATACTGAACAAAAGTTAGCACCAGTAATTGCTGTAGTGGAACTTGGTGCTATTTTGCTGCCACGTCTTGTATCTCTCTCAAAGGTCATTGAAGCACTATTTCTGTTTAGTTCTCTCTTGCTTAATTTAACCATTCTGCTTAAGTAGAATTACATGACAGCATTCAACTGGTTATTTCTGTTTAAAAATTTACGTTAAAGAGTACATGTGATCTAAGTCTCTTCTAGAATCATCAGTTCATGCTGTTTTACTTATATTGCAAAAGGATGATCTGCCTACAGCTTTCCTTCCATAGCAGTTTACATGACTTTAGATAACTAGTGTAATCTCTTGAGGTGAAAGAGGTAGGTCTTTTTGTAATTGACTTAACTTCACTTATGACTAGATTACTCTGATGCACAAGCTGTTTAACTGTGAGGTAGCCTTAAGATACTGTTGGATTGGGTAAAATTTGCAAAGTAGCTGACAGATCAGGTTTTTCTAGTAAGGCGTATGAATGGTATGTGTAGGGTTTGAAGCTATTTACTGTATAGTAAAATCATCATTCCAACACCTAACAAACAGCTCTTGAAAGCATGCCAAATATTGGCTTGAATGCTTATACTCATCCGATTTAATCGTCAGAACAACCCCATGAGGTAGACCTTAGTGTTTATTCTCATTTTACTGAATGGCAAAGTTGAAGATGAGAGAAATAAGGTAGGATGCCCAGGGTCATGCAGCTAGTAGCTGGTGGAGACCAGGTTGAGACTTGAGTTTGCTTCACTCTAGGGTCTCTTCACCATTAATACTGACTCTTTGTTTTCTGTGTCTTCTTAATAATGATTGATAGCTATTAGTAATACAATATTGTAAATCAACTATACTCCAATAAAAAAATTTTTTTAAATGATTGCTTGCTAAGTACTTGGCCAGAATTTCTCTGGCCCTAGAGGTGCTGGATCACAGTGATGATTATGGCCAGTTTTGTTACCTTTATTCCAGGCAGTTGCGGTGGTGGCTTGTTTTGTCCTTTTTTTTTTCCCCTGAGGGTTTAAAGATGAAGAATGAGTTAGTCCCAGTAGCTAAGTAGCACCTCAGTCTTATTAGCTTATTAAAGAAGAAATAAGGAGTTCTCTGTCAGAGTGTTTATTTATTGAATCTCTTGACAGTACAGCTTTTCCACTACAAAAAGCAGGGTAAAGATCCCACACTGTCAGACCTGGTCTGATACTTGCTGCTTCATAAACTTCATCCTCAGTGGTAGAAGTTGAAACAATCTTCTTTTTGTAGTTTCTTTATGAATCGGTTGTTCATACTTCACAAATAATTGTGAAAATTAGTACATAGTCCTCAGATGCCAGTTGGCCTAGCCCAGGATCTTGTTGTTCTTGGCATTCCGCTAATCAATCCAGGTCCCTTGAGCTGCATATTGTTGATGCATACTTCTGGAAAACATCTACTTCCTTGGGGGATGTAAATCTGCAAGGAGGTGTGGTTAATAGTATGATTGTCATGTAAGTAATCTCCTGAGAACTTGTTAGCTAAGTACTTCTTGCTTCAAGTAGCTTTTTAGTTTTGGCAGTATTCTCATTGAATCTTGGTGGCATTGACAAAATTCAATGCTGAGTACTTGAGTATTAGATGACTTCACATAGATTATCTCATTTAAGATACTTATTATAGATTTTGTTCTTTGTTCCAGCAGAACTACTAAAACCTCATTACTTCTTACAGGAACATTTAGCCAGTTAGCTTGATAGGACAGCACTGTGTAATATCATTCAGCAAGTATTTTCTCCATGGTTCCTAGGTACTGTGACTGAAAGTAGAAATTTCTTTGTTTTTTCTTTGGCTGTACCTCATGGCTTGCAGGAACTGAACCCAGGCCTTGGCAGTGAAAACCCCAAGTCCTAGCCAAGGAATTCCCGAATTTTTTTGTTACTAACAGAAGAAACAGGAATTCCATAGCAATCCAGTGGCTAGGGTTGTCTCCACTGCAGAGGACGCAGGTTCCATCCTTGGTCAGTCAACTAAGATCCCATAAGCTGTGCAGCATGGCCAAAAAAAACTACTAAAAACCCTGTCCCCCCTCCCTAGGGCAACTTAAAATCCCTGTAAGAAGATAAAATTGAGACATAAAAGTTGAACAAACCATTAACATCACAAAAAGACAACCAGATGTTATATGTTTCTCTTAATAAATGAACATAGCGCTATTTATCAAAAAGTCTTGCTAAAAAAAAAAAAAAAAATTGAACCTGAATCTGCTCAAGCCTCCCATCTCTTATCAGTTTGTTAGAAATAAAATGGACAGAGGGACATGTTAAATGACATCACAAGTATATAACCAGCAAAATCTAAACTAAGGGAAATTCTACAGAACAAATGAGGCTGATTTTCCACAAGTACATTGCAAAGTAAAAAAAGGACAGCATAAGAGAGAACTTAAATTGATTAAAAACTACTTCAGAGACATCAGACAATTGTAATGTGGGCTATTTTTCAGTAAAACAAACAAGTGGGGGGAACTTTAATCAATGAATGAGGTGTGGGGGGGATTTCAGTACTGATTAGTTAATGATATTGAAGATTTGTTAAAATTTTTTTTTCAGTGGGATAATGGTTTTTTGATTTGGATTCTCTTTTAGAGATACATGCGTAAATATTTACATGTTATATATGATATCTGGGATTCACTCAATAATTGGGGAGATGAGAGGGGAAAGTAAGGGTACAGATGAAACAAGCATCGCCATGAGTTAATAATTTAAGTAGATGATGCTTGTTAGCTGAGTGGGTAATTTTGTGCCCCAGGTTTTACAAATGAGGGATATGTTACCTTACAGGACTATTTTAAGAAAAGCAAAAACTGAAAATAATCTATTTAGCACAGTACTTTTTACATAGTAAGTGCTTTAAAAATGGAAGCCTTTGTTAATAACTAATGACTGAATGTCACTGTTTGACTCTTTGCATATATGGTGAATTTTCTTTGAAAGATGGAACATAGAATTATTAAAACCTAGTGTCTTAGCATATTCTTTGAGTGCAAAGTCATATAGTGGAAAAGATCATGATGAAACATGTAAGGGTTTGAAATTTGACTTTGGCATTGACTGAATGCTCTGAGGTTCAGTTCCCTTTTCTGTAAAATGAAGGTCGTTATATATTCTGTAGAATGGAGAAAAATTGGGAATAATATGTTAATATACATGGGATACCATGTGTAACCCCCTTGATGCAGTACCTGGGTCGTAACAGTTTCTCAGTTACATGGTCATTGTTATTATTCACTCCATCTATAGCCACCCAGCATATAATCCAAATGTCCGTGTCCATCCGGAAAGCCCCGTCCGTGGAGAGGAGACGCCACCCTGCCTGACTCTTGGTCGATAATTCCTCTTCTTTTTTCTCCATTTTCCTTTTCTCCCCATCAGCTGATTTACGAAGACTGTATGGATCTGATCGCAAAGCTTCCTTGTGTCGCAGCAAAGATCTACCGGAATCTGTACCGAGAGGGCAGTGGTATCGGGGCCATCGACCCCAAGCTGGACTGGTCCCACAATTTCACCAGCATGCTCGGCTATACTGACGCTCAGTTCACGGAGCTCATGCGCTTGTACCTCACCATCCACAGGTGAGGGAGACCCAGCCAGCAGGTTGCTGGATTGGTGGTGAATATGAAGAGAAACTCCTTGGGACTTCCCTGGAAGTTCAGTGGTTAAGAGTCTGCCCGTCCACTGCAGAGGGTGTGGGTTCAGTCCCGGGTTAGGGAATTGAGATCCTGCATGCCACATGGTGCACCAAGAGAAAAAAAAGAAAAAGCTCCTTAACATTCTCATGTTTTGGGAACAGGTGGTAGGCAGCAAGGAGATGGAAGCGCAGAATATGGACTGATACCAGGCATGAAAGGGGTTGGCAAAGGCACAGGAGGTCTAGTGAAATTATTGTAACCACACCAGGAGTAAGCTGGCGCTTCTAGCCCGGAAAAGGTACCAGCTGTTCCTTAGAGGAGCCCTTTGGCTTTCCCGGAGCGCCCTCTTCTGGCCATTGCTTTAAAGCTCGAGTGGAAGCCGGAGATGGCACACGGCCGGGCGTCATCAGCCAGTAACCTCTCAGCTCTGTGGGTGAGTGAGCAGAGGCGCCAGGAACGTTGGGACGTCTCTTACAAGAGCTAATGTATGAACGCCTGGCTCTGGGCTGGTGTGAGCCCACCGCCAGGCAAGTCCGTGACAGAAAGAGGACAGCAGGGCCCCTGTTGGCACCGTGCCCTTTTCCCTCCTCGCTCTGGGCCTGACTCTCCTTTCTCCCTCCCCACAGTGACCACGAAGGCGGCAACGTTAGTGCCCACACGAGCCACCTGGTCGGCAGCGCCCTTTCAGACCCCTATCTGTCCTTCGCGGCAGCCATGAACGGGCTGGCGGGGCCCCTGCACGGACTGGCAAATCAGGTAGGGCTCTTCTCCTGCTCCGTGTCTTTCTCACCGGCATGCTTTTGTTTCTGATCCTGGCATTCTCTCCTGGTATATACATTGACACTCTTATTCTCTAAACCTTCCTTCCCCGTAGGAAGTGCTTGTTTGGCTGACACAACTTCAGAAGGAAGTTGGCAAAGATGTGTCAGATGAGAAGTTACGAGACTACATCTGGAACACACTCAACTCAGGACGGGTGAGCAGAGACACTTAGCAACTAAGAAAGAAGCCAAGACTAAAGTCCAATAAATTGAAAAGAATGAAGGCGAAAACAATGAGATAACTCCCTAAATTAGAGATTTCTTTTCCATTTGTCTGCCCTGAAGAATTTAGAAAAGGCAAAGATTTCTGCCTGAGAATACGGCTGGTTTTCCCCCCGACTCCATCCTCTGCAGGTTGTCCCCGGCTACGGCCACGCGGTGCTGAGGAAGACTGACCCGCGGTACACCTGTCAGCGAGAGTTCGCGCTGAAGCACCTGCCTCAGGACCCCATGTTCAAGCTGGTCGCACAGCTGTACAAGATCGTGCCCAACATCCTCCTGGAGCAGGGCAAGGCAAAGAATCCTTGGCCCAATGTGGATGCTCACAGCGGAGTGCTGCTGCAGGTGAGCCCTCCCTCCCCTGCCTTCCTCTCCTTTATACACCCTCCTATTCTCTGCCAGGCACAAAATCAGCTCGCTCGTCGGAGCCAGGACTCTCACACCTCCTTAGTCCTCTTGATAAAGTTGCCTGTGGTGTAGAAAGTGTGGGCTGGAGGGAAGGGATGAGGATTTCCTTTCAGAATCCAGTTGCTGTATTTCTCCCAGTCATTTCTGTTTAAGGCTAACTGGGTTAAGGCTTTTAATCACCCTGGACTTGTACCTGCAACTGCCTGTGGGCCTGTAACACCACTTTCTTCTCTTTCATCTTACAGTACTACGGCATGACGGAGATGAATTACTACACAGTCCTGTTTGGGGTCTCACGGGCACTGGGCGTGTTAGCACAGCTCATCTGGAGCCGAGCCCTGGGCTTCCCTCTAGAGAGACCCAAGTCCATGAGCACAGACGGTCTGATGAAGTTTGTGGACTCTAAGTCAGGGTGAAACTGAGGGCGGGGAGGAAAGTATCCACCAGAGAGTGAGGGATCTTTTAAAAAAAAAAGTATACTTTTGTTTTGGGGCTTTTAAAGACTTAAGATTAAATTGTATCTGAGGCACTGATGATAGGTTTGGAGTTAAAATATAAATTAAGATTTTTTTAAAGAAGAAAAGTAACCCCTTCTTCCCCAACCAGCTCCTCTGCCCGGCCTGGTATGAGTTGCCCATCAACTGTAGGATGACCAGGACTAATGCATGTAGTGTGGGTCAGGTTTGCCCTCAGCCCCACCTTCAGAGTGAGAATCTGGCTCCTCTTTCCCCAGGTCAAAGCTGGTTGCAGAGAATCTGCCGTCACTTCAGAGCTTCTGGTTCTCCTGTGTCCACCCTTTAATAGGCCTGCCCCTCCTGTTCCCATAGGAATCAGTTGGACTGCCAGCTGCGCTGAGCCCCGTTAGCCTCCCCCGTGCACACAGACACCTCCTAGCAAGATCTCTTGGTGATGCTGTGGCTTTTTTTTTTAAGCTACCAGATGATTATAAAGGCCATGGTATTTGTTGTGACTGGCAACCAATATTTGGTTTTTATTTTTATTTTTTTAAATTATCCTATTAAAATTAAGATCTAGGAGTGTTCTATTCCCCATTACTTGAATACTCACCTCTTTCCAGATTTTCTGTACCTGCTGCACCTCAGGCCAAGGTTGCTGCGGACCTTCCTGTCTCGGGCCTTCCTAGAGACCTCTCTTCAGCAGGCACATACAGCACTGTCTAATGCGTGCTCGTTCCTAGTTATTTGGCTTCATCAGTGCTTAATGTGAACTAAGTTTTTACTTCCTTGGAACACAGACCGCTACCCTCTGACCTTTTTTTCCCCTTTAATATGCTGTGGGCTGTAAAACAGGGACTTAGGAATGACCAGCATGATATTTTCATGGCCTGATCCCAGGAGTACTAGTACCTCTTTCTGAACAGGGAAATGATTTTTAAGATCAGACATGGTCTCTTTTGACTATCAGGTGCTGGGGCTGAGGACATTAAAAATAGTAAAACTCCCTCCTCATCCCCTGCCACAAGCCAATATCCCTTTATTTATCAAGGTCCTTATCCTGTCCCTTCCCCAAGAGCTCACAGTACACTGTTTGTTTTAGAAGCCCCATATGCACAGGTTTCAAGTGACTCAGAAGGTTCTGCCTTTTTAAGAAAGGATTAAAAATACACTCCTGCTGTGCCCCCTTCCTCCCTTGCAACTCCTGCCTGTTTGTGTGGATCCCTAATCCCCGGAACCATGCTGTTGAGAGGGATAATACTGTCTGTAAACCCTTGGGTAACTGTCACGATGCAGACTTCAGGTTGTTCTGTATAAAATGCAAAATAAATGTTTTTATTAACAATGCTTGAGCCTATTAAATGAGGCCTGCAAGAGTCTCCATTCTGAGGTAAGGAGTCTGGCTAGCACGGTCCTAGATGTAGTAGGTTTTAAGTTATCCTATGCCTCTCTTTATCTTTAGGCATGTTTGGCATTCACTTACCCTAATCAGAAGACAGGTTCCCTGTGAGATTTCCAAAGGAGATTGCTGCTGTCTTAATGGTTAGAAGTCCTTGACGTTTAGCCCCCATCCTTCCTAAATTTGCTGTAAAGTAGAACATGCAAGGACTAGAGCCGAGACCTCACAGCTGCTTAGGTGACTGATCCAAGGAGACTGGTCCAGCCCAGTGGGTGAAAGGAAACTACACCAAGGGCAGTGAGGGCAGGACAGCTGACTCAGGGTCCGACCCTCCAGAGCGCTCTGGAGCTTTGCGGAATGCCGATCCCTCTTTGCTGCCTCCCTTCCAGATCCCCCAGAATACACGGTGGTCTGGAGGGCATCAGTTATGTGGGAGGTCTGAGACCAGATTGCTCTGTCCTGAGACTCCTGCTGCAACTGACCTTCTGAAAAAGTCTATAAATAGGCAAGGGAGTGGGTACTAGGTCCTGGCTTGTAGAATGTGCTACTATAGTTAGCAGGGACGCTATGTCCAAGAGGCCTTCTTGCACCTTCACTCCCCTAGGGAAGGAAGCCATGACTTTGTTCTGCTCTGCTATATCTACATTATTCCCCCAAAAAGCAATATAAAAAAGCCAGATTCACACTGTCACAATTAATTTATTGCCATTTTATAAAAACTCAGGCCAAGCAGAAGACAGCCCAGGGGTACAGCTGTTCAGTGGTCGTGCTCCTTGCCCTGGGCCCTGATGGCCGAGACAGTCCCTCGCTCCACTAGCCAGGCCGCCTGGGAGTGAGGTCATGGGGGTTTCAAGCTGCGGCCAGCTCTCAGGCACCTCCTGAGGCATTGCAGGCAGGCAAGGTTATTGACCACCCAGTAGCTCTGTATCAGAAGAAAGAGTTCAGTTTCTTCAGTCCTAAGAAGAGCTGCTTTCTTCCCCCGGTCAGACACTAAGGCACCTTGACAAGAGCTCAGAGGCGACCGCGCAGCCGCGACTGTAATTGAGTGTGAGAAGGTGGCAGGCTTCCGGCATGTGGTGCTCTCAGGATAACCCTGACCCTTGCCTAGGCATGTCTCCTTTCCATACCTCCTTGCCTTTTCTTTCCCCCAGCATTTCTAGCCAGCTCAGAGCCTGAGTTTGGGGGGTTTGAGAGGGAGAACAGTAATACGAACATGGACTTTTCTCTCAGATTGGACCAGGAGCCAAATAAATAAGAATTGGGTGAGGAGGGGGAGGAGAGGCGAGGCTGGGGAATAATCCTTTGCCTCAAGCCTGGTGCACCTCATGAAACATCAGTTCACGGGGGACAGCTGTTTCTGGACCAAACTTGGTTGCTGCCCGGCGCTCGAAGGCAGCGACATTCTTTTTGACAACCTCATCAAAAAAGATGGTGGCCAGCTGGGAGTGCAGCAGAGAGCGAAATTCAAAGGAAATCTGGGAATGGGTAAGAGACAGTCAGAAACTCTTCAAACCAAGTTGGATAGTCCCTGACCGATGCACGGCCACTGTGCAGGGCCTTTTCCTCCCCCAACTCCTGTTCCTAGGACCGAGTACGAACTACAGGTGTGATGCAGGCTCACCCCTGCGGAGGGTGTCGTTGGCTTGGGAGGGAACTGTCACAGCGCCCTGGCTCAGCCCCCACAACCCAGCTGTAGCCCTGTGTAGCCTCCCGACTCACCGAAAAGTCCACAGTGCAAGTTCGAGGGTAGGCAGGAATTCCAGGGCTGAATCGCCAGATGGTCTCTAAATGGTTGAAGAGCTTGCCATCAGTGCAAACAGCCTAGAACAGGACGGGTAGTTAAAGAATATTACAATGGAATGAGACCTATATCAGGTGTAGGAAGCTATACGAAGGAACTGGAAGCCATTTTCCTTTCCTTCAAATATTAGGGAAATATCTGACACATGGAGATAGAAAAATCATAAGGAAAGCCAAAATAGCCCTTGAATATAAAAATTCCACAGAACACAGAAAAAAACTTCCTGATCAATCATTCCCAATCAGCCTCACCTTGACCATATGAGGTTTGACCATGGAAACAGCAGAAGTGTACCGTTCCACCACAGGTGGAAAGCCGACCTCCAACTGGGCCTTCAAGTGACCTTTGCGGCTGGACACCACCAAAGACTTCTTACACCAGGGCACAAACTCCCGATACTCCTGGACGTTGGCTACCACCTCGTACATCTCCTGCATTGAGTACCTGGGGGAAGGAGTCACAGAGGCCAAGAAGCTGCCAGCGGGCTCAGGCTCCTCCTCGCCATAGGCGCCCACCCGTCACGTTCCTTCAGGAACTAGAGATCCCAAATAAGCCCCCATGAATGATTTTGCAAAAGCAAATGTCCAGATTTCCATGACGTAATGCATCTCAAGTCTTGCCATTTAGAGAGTGTTTTTGCATTTACTATCTATTTTGATCCTTAAAAGGGTCATGTCTGGAGAACAGGGATGACTGGTGATTCACACAGGGACGCAGATCCCAGCTCTATAACTTTTTGACAAAGTGGCCCTAGGAAAATTGTTGTCTCCATTTATCTCCTCTGTGAATCATAAGTAATAATAGTAATTGATTCATAAGTTTGTTGAGAGGATCAAATGAGAAAACCTGTGATAAAACACCTAAACAGCCTAACTGCTAGGCAGCAGGTGAGTGTTCAGTAAGTGTTAACTCATATTCGCTCAGAACACCTAAAGTCAGGTCAGTAAAGAAACAGTGCCCTGTTGTCTTATGTTGTCCAACTCCAGGCACGTTTCACAAAGTACCTGCACGGCAACCAAGAAGAGGGGAATTAAGGTTGGAAGGCTGCCAGAGGCGGGCGAAGGGTCAGTAGCACCACTGGGGAGAGTGAGGTGGCCGGGGTGAATCTTGCCCGCTATGGCTACCCTTACATTCTACCCTGGACACGGTGTTTTGTTGGTCGGGAAGAGGAATGTGGAGGGATATTGGACAGGAGAGGATGCTCACCCCATGATCCGACGCTCAGAGTAAGCCTTTCGCTTGTTGGTGAAGGGGGCAGCAAAGCCCATGAAGGAACGGCTGGGAGGGAAGCCAGACTCAGTCGCCAAGACCTGGGCAGCCCGGGGCAAGAAGAAGCTGCAGGAAATCGGAACTCTAAGGCCAAAAGGAAAGGAGAGACAGTCAAGAGTCTTTCCCTGTGGTCCTCAACAATTCTCAGGTGCAAAGGAAGAGGGGCGCATCCCAGAGGAAGGTCGTCCAAACCAGCTTTCCCCCCAGCACCTGCTGCAGCCCGCCAGGCTCCCCGGCCAGGCAGTCACGAGTGCGAAAGGTCGAGGGCGGCTGAGGACAGTGCCGAGGGAGGAGACGGGAAAAAGAGGGGTGCGTGCGAAGCGCCAGCTGCCTTGGACCGGAGGCTACGCTCCTGCCGAAAGCGAGGACTCGGGATGCCTCACAGCCCCCGGGGCCTCGCAAGCCGGCGGGTGCCAGGGCACCGGCGACCGGCAAGGTGTGGTTGGACACACCTCGGGGACTGCCTCGCGAATAATTTGCAAAAGCATTTCCCCAAAGCAACACATTAGACCCCAGGGTATGATCACCGCCGCCCTCCCACCGCGCTTGCAGCCAGAGATGCAACTCTCCGCCGCGGAACTTCGGGGTCCTGGGTGACCCCCTCGGCTCCAGCGCGGACGCCCGCACCTCCCTCTCACCTCATTGGTCCCAGCGGCCGCGGAGGTCCCGGGGGCGGAGCCCGGCGCGCCGAGAGGCCGCAGCAGCCCCGGGCCGCGGCGCGCGTCCCGGCGGGGAGTCGCCGCGCGCCCGCCGAGGCCATGCGCGCGACCCTCCCTTGCCCTCTCTGCTCCGATGGCGGCCGCGCCCTCCTCACTCCCCAGGGAGAGCGGAAGGTTAGCCGCAGTCGGGTGCGCAGGGCCGGCGCGGGGCGGTGGCTGTGCTCGCCCAGCTCCCGCCCGGGCGGCCGGGTAGCCTAGAACTGAAGCCGCCCCCGCCGCTCCCGCCGCTCCCAGTACCCCCCACGTCACGCCGTTGCCATGGCTCGGGACCGGGAGAGGGGGAAGGAAGGGGCCCACGCGGCCTGTCGGGAGATGTAGTTTCACACCTCTGGCGAGAAAGGGCGAGGGCGCGGGAGTGGGTATTTGAGAAGCTGCAGACATGGCCCGGCGGAGCGAGGCCAACAGGCAAGCTACTCGCGGGGTCTGATCACGGGCCTGATACATAACACAGAGGTGGCTTAGTGGCCGCGTCAACAGCAGATACCCTCGGTCTTCTGCACCTCTCCTGGAGCCTGTACTCTATTCTGCCTTGTTTATAGTTAGAAGTTCCATTCATCTTTAGAGCCAGCATAGCGCCTACTGCAGTGCCTTGAGACAGAAAATTAATGTTCCAAGATCTGGGCTAAGACTTTGCATCATTTTCTCTTAATAATTATAGAAAGCAGTGGAAGTGAGAAGGACCAGAGTTACTTTTATGGTAGATAGAGAACCATCTTTGCCTGGAGAAGTGTGCACTTGATAGAGGTGAGACCTCATGGGCCAGGAAATGTCACAACACGGCTTTCAGTCGTGATACAAGGGTAGAAAAAGTGTCCTTGATAAAAGTGGGGCGAACAGATGAAAAAAAGAGAAATCAACAATTAGAGACTAGATCTAGGTGGGTACAAGAGCCCTTGCGATTCTCCCACGGTGGAGGGCACTTTAAGAACAGTGGTGTTTGCTGTTGCATTTAAAGATGTTTACACCTTTACCGTGTAACCCCTTCCCTGCTATAGTCTTGAGAGCGTAAATCTAGTCATGATCTCCACATCCAGGAAATCTTTATCTGAGTAGTGTGGTGTGGCTGCTGCTTCCCAGATGGCGCAGCGGTGAAGAATTCACCTGCCATTGCAGGAGACGGAAGAGACATGGGTTTGATCCCTGGGTTGGGCAGATCGCCTGGAGGAGGGAAATGGCAACCCACTCTAGTATTCTTGCTTGGAAAATTCCATGGACAGAGAAGCCTGGTGGGCTACAATACATGGGGTCACACAGAGTCATGACTGAGAGACCGAGCACATACCAGACTGTCCTGGGGCTGCGGGTGGAAGAACGAAATGGTCAGTGATGGTGTTGCCCTTCGGATCTGCAGAGGTCCATGACATATAAACCTTCAGGCTGTGAGCTTTCAAAGATGCACATGTGCGTGCACACTTCCTGTCACATAAGGTAGTCATGTGCGTGCACACGTCCTGTCACGTAAGGTAGGCCATGTGCATGCACCCTCTATAAGTGGTTGCGCTTTCGTGTACTGTTCAGTACTGCATAGAGGACAACCATAGAGCATCTTTTTTTTTTTTTAGTGCTACCACTTTATTGCTACCAACCCATCTCCCTCCATCCTCATGCACACATGCTCAGTCATGTAACCCCATGGATGTAGGCCATGTGCGTGCACACGTCCTGTCACGTAAGGTAGTCATGTGCGTGCACACGTCCTGTCACGTAAGGTAGGCCATGTGCGTGCACACGTCCTGTCACGTAAGGTAGGCCATGTGCATGCACCCTCTATAAGTGGTTGCGCTTTCGTGTACTGTTCAATACTGCATAGAGGACAACCATAGAGCATCTTTTTTTTTTTTAGTGCTACCACTTTATTGCTACCAACCCATCTCCCTCCATCCTCGTGCACACGTGCTCAGTCATGTAACCCCATGGACTGCAGCCCACCAGGCTCCTCTGTCCATGGACTTTTCCAGGCAAGAATACTGGAGTGGGTTGCCATTTCCTTCTCCACATAGGAGTATCTTTATTTCAAGTCCAGGATGTCCATAACCAAGTGTGAAAGTGGTGGTGACGTAGCTGGTACTGCTAAGAAGCACCAAGGGATTGCGATGGAAACAAAAGTGAAAGTAATTGAGAGAATGGAGTGACAAGGGGAAGAAGTAACTGAAGAAGCAAAGACTCACGATGCAGGAAACAGCAAGGGGATTTTCTTTATCTGAGGGGGCACTGTTAGTTTTGAGGTGCAGGACCTGAATGTAGAATGGTACATGAAGGTTGCAGCAGCCTTTCAGAACGCAATCCAATGCTACCGAGTCATGTATGATGAAAAAAAAAAAAGAGCTACTATTTGGCCATCACTGGATCATTTTTTCAAGAAGGGAGATAGAATTGACTCCGGCCAGGAACCAGAACTTGTGCCATCAACGTCAGGCAGGAATGAAACTGCAGCTTGCCCTCACCCCCAGTTGCTGACGATCATTCAGCTCGCCCAGCCCTCACCTCCTCCGCCTCCTTCAGCCAGTAACTCTTCTTGCTTTTTATGCGATGATGCCAGCCCTGGTATGCCAGCTGTCGTATTGTACTACTTTACTTTGCAAGATATTGTACTGTAAGATTAAAAATCTTTTATTTTTTGTTTTTGTTTTATTTCTGTGAAAAGTATTATAAACCTGTTTCCATACAGTACTATATAGCTGGTTGTGTTAATTGAGTACCTAGACTAACTGTTGGACTTACAAACAAATTGGGCTTATAAACACGCTCTCAAAATGGAACTCATTTTTATATACGGGACTTGCTGTAACTGGAAGGGAAGAGAGACAGCTTGTCCAGAAATAAGGCCCGAAAACAGATATAAACCTTCCAACTTCCCCACCCTTTGAGACTGACATTTATTTGAGGGATTTCAGTGAATATGGATTGATTTTGTAAAGTTTGGGCCATTTTGTCTGGATTTCAAGAAGAGGGATCCTCCCTTGAACTGTGGCTTACATTTGCCATTTTGCAAGGAAGGCATTTCAATCCTAACTTTGTATTATATACACATGAAGTCCCAATTGTGGAATGATCTCATTTCTTTCTCTTTTTTAACATTTCTTCTTTTCCCCTCAGAACCCTCCCTGCCAACAAGACACAATATCTTCTTCCAGTTTGAAGATGGTCATGGGGAGCCACTCTCAAAAGGGCATATGATCTCGAGGGACAAATTTACTCTTTCCAAGCCCACTTTCTTGTCCACCCCCTCTGACTAAGGGCTTCACATGTGAGACAGCTGTGTAGAGTGGGGGGTAAGGATCTGGTCAGATAAAAGACAAATTAACTGGGATACATAACTAAACTGTGACCTCATTAACACTCTGCCTTAACCGAGTTAACTGCTGTGGAATCCCCAAGGAGGTGTAACAGGCCTGCCAGGTCAATTTGCTGGCTGCCCCCCCACTAATTAGATTAGGTAATTATTGCCATTTAAACTCTTCCTAGTTCACCCCTTGTACTTGAAATAACCAATTTGCTTCCATTTCCCTGTCATTTTACATCAACAACTTCCTTCAAGTACAGACAAAACACACCTCCTCCAGGAAGACCCTCTTGACTGAATCCATCTCTCAACATTATAGTGAACACATAATGCCACATAAAGTAGCTTGAATTCTATATTCTCTAATTGTTTCATGTTCATGTATATGTTTTTCTACCTTATAAACACAAAAATAGACAGTGTTACTTTTTAAAAAAAAAAACCTACTATTACATATATTTTTCTTTTTTTTGGCAGCACCTCAAGTCTTGTGGGATCTTAGTTCTCACCCTTGGTAGTAAAAGCATGGAGTCCCAACCACCCATGGAGTCCCCACCAAGTCCCAACCAGGATTTGCCCACCAAGGAAATCCTGAAACCACTACTTCTAAGTTTCTACCTCCAAAGCAGTTAGTATAGGGCTGAATTCAATGGTGAAGCCTCAGCAGTCATTTGTTAGAAGAATGAAAATTGAGGCTTAAAGACAGGCATGCATCTGCTTAGTTATCCAAATATGAATACAGTAGTGCACTCCAGAAGAACAGTTTGAGTAAGAGGACTTTAGGACCACGTCAGGCCTCCTTATCCCCACGCCTTGCATCTCCTTGAGCCCTGGAAGTAACTGTGTTACCTACATCATATCCCTTTTTTCCCTATTGGGAAATCCTCTTTCTGTGCTCTGAATAATATTAAAAATAACTCTTCCAGCCCTTCCTCCTCCTTCCAGCTGCGCAGAGGACCTGGCTGGCAAACTCCCTTGTTCACTTCCACTCAGGAGCCAGAACCAGGCACATGACCCCAGCTCAACCTCTGACTGCAATTCCTCAGGTTACCAAAAGCTATTTTGGGCAATGGAGGCCATGTAGTCCCCTCCTGCCCATCCTCTGAGCCATATCCTAGCTTAGCCCTTCCTGGAAGGTCTGTCAAAGCCAATAGATAAGTCAACATGTCCCAACCCGTATCCATCAGATTCCAAGCTACCTTCAATTCCTACTTCTTCAGCCTCATCTTCATTATCATCATCAAGCATTAAGTGTCTGTTCCTACATACCTCTCTCCTTGAGCCTCCTTTTTTCATAGAAAAGAAAACCAATATACAGTCCAATGTTGGAAGACTCTGGCTAACAAGGAGCTTAAAATCCCTTCTGAAACACTGGATTCCTGTATGTCAAAGATGTAAGGTGAAAAAACAATAAAGATCTGTAATTTAAACTTGATTGTGACTGCAATATAGAGAATATAGCCAGTATTTTATAATAATTATAAATGAAGCATAGCCTTAAAAATGTGAATCACTATGTTGTACATCTGCAACATATAATATTATGCATCAACTATATCTCAATTTTTAAAAGTGGGGGAAAAAAACATTTGAAACAACAACCTGATTGTGACAGTATAAACTAAGTATAGAAGTGTTAAGGAGACCTGTCAAAACGAGAAGAAACTGTTAACCAGGGAAGACTTCCTGGAAGAGGTAAGTTTTCACTAAAACTGTGAATTTTATTATCAAAATGGTAAAAGAAATTTTAAATTTAAAGGTATATACTGATAGGTAAATTGCTCTCTCATTCCTTATTCCCTGTTCCCCGGTTTTTCTCTCCAAGAAAAACCCCTGGCATTTGTGTATTTTTCAAGGGATCAGGACAATGAAAGTGCTGAGGGTCATAGATTGTCGGAAGGCAAAGGAGGGCGTTTATACCCCTGCCTTGACAGGGTGGGCAACGTGCTGTGCTTCTTTCTCCTAACCGTGTTCCTTAGCATGAGTTGCTGAGCTCTGCACAGGACACCGAACCATCTTTTATAAATTGTACATAAATTCTTCAATATCTACTTTTCTTCTCTCTTTTTGCCTTTTTGGGAAGGTTGACCTCCATCTAGATCTTGCCTGATTAGCTGCTCTCTGCTCTCTCCAGTGGAGAAGTACCTCGACCCTTTTCTGGGGAGAAACTGGTGAGTCTTAAAATATAGCCGCCCTACCACCTTAACCTGGCAATGGGGTAATTAGGCAATGGAAAAGCCCCCTTCTGTTGGGCTTGGAGTACTTCAGCTGCCAGCCAGCCAGCTGTCCTACCCTCTCTGTGGCGTTTTTCTGCAGCTAAGAATCCTCGAGGGTCTTTTTTTCCCCTCCTCTGCAGCTCGGGCACTTTTGCTGTTTCCTTTCTACCCGTCTTGTCACCGCCAGCGGAGACACGCGCCTTCCCTGCCTCTGGGACTGTTGCCATATATAACCCCCAGATCTCCACGCCCTGCTTCCCCAAGTCAGTGGGGAATGTTGAGTTGTGTGATCGCGGACCGGAGGCGTTCGCTCGGCGGAGGCATTGTGGGCTGAGTGAGAGCTGGCCCGCCATTTGGTCCTCGGTTTGGAAGGCAACGCAGGAGAGCCGAGGCCCGAGTAGCCGCGAGGATTTTGTGGAGCATCCCCCGGGGGCTTCAGACTGGAGCGAAGAGCCCGGCGCGGCCGGCCTGCGGAGCTGGGGGACCAGGGCGCGAGGTTGGGGGTGCCCAGGCCGCGGGGACCGCCGGGGTGCCGGGCCATGGGGATCCTCAGCATCACGGACCAGGTCAGCCCTCCTGCCCTCGCTCGCTTCCTCCTTCCAGGGCCCGACGCCGCCGCCACGCGAGCCCGGGGATGTGCGGCCTAGGCTGGGCCCGAGCCCGGGGCTCCCGCCCCGCCCCACGCCACGCTCCCCTCAACCGAGCCGGTGTCCTTGGGGGCCTGGCGACCGGCGGAGGCACCGTGGAAACCCCCTGCAGCCAGGACCCCAGAGCGGAGCCCCTCCGGCGTCGCCCCCCCCATCTCAAACCCGGGGTCCCCCGCCCCCCTCCCCGGTTCCGCTCCGGCCCGCTCGCTGAACGCCGGTTCTCCCTGCAGCCGCCCCTGGTCCAGGCCATCTTTAGCCGAGATGTGGAGGAAGTGCGTTCCCTCCTCTCGCAGAAGGAGAACATCAATGTGCTGGTGAGTTGAGATCAGAGAGGATGGCGAACCGGTAATCGGCCCTGGCGTTCAGGACCCCTCCCCACGCGTGGGGCGGCTCCGTGTCTGTTCGGCTCGGGGGAGGCCGCAGCTCTTTCCACCTTGGGATGGGCGACTGCTGAGCATTGGGGATGAAGAGCAGGGCAGGCTTGGAGCACAGACGAGGAGGGCTGAGGATGCCCAGAAACGGTGTTCTCTTCTGAACCATCCGTGTCTGCAGCGCCCCCACCCCTCCTGGAAGAAGGAGGTTGCTTCGCTGCCGGTGGCCCCGACCCCCTGACTCCACCCTCCTAGGTCCTGGCTTTGACCTAGGATTGGGGTTTAAGAGGCCATAGAACCTGTGCGAAGAGGCTGTGGGGAAAGGCCTGGAGCACTAAGACTTGGGGTCCTGGGTCGTTCACCCCCATAGCCGCTGCTCTTCTCTGCCTTACCAGGACCAAGAGAGGCGAACCCCACTGCATGCTGCTGCCTACGTAGGCGATGTCCCCATCCTCCAGTTGCTACTGATGTCAGGTGAAAGTGGGGAGCTGGAAGGCGTGGCACCCAGGGAGGGGCCTGAGGGAGGAGCCTTTTTGTTGTATCCAAGGATGGTCCGGCTGGGTCCGGGGGAGGTTCCGTCTCCATCTAGATTTCCTGGCCTGATTCTGGCTTTTCTTCCCCCACCTGCCCTCCAACTCCCGCCAGAAGAGCGTATTGTGTCCCTACAGGTGCTAATGTCAACGCTAAGGACACACTGTGGCTGACCCCTCTTCACCGCGCTGCTGCCTCCCGAAATGAGGTACTGGCCTCCCCGCCCCTTTCTCCCTTCCGAAGGGGGCGAGTTGGTTACAGGTGGATGACACGGGTTGGAGCGCCTTAGTCGCTGCCCCACAGGTTGGTCTACCCCCAGGTTGGGAGACCAGACCTTGGCCCCTCCCTCCTACCCCTGGAACTGGCTGGTGAGGGGGGTGGGGGCTGAGTGTTGCCAGCTGATGTGACGTCAGGGGAGAGCTTAACACTGGGCTGGCAGACTGCAGGGGGCCCCGCTGCCAGGCCTTAGTGACTCATCCCTCCCAGGGGGGCCACCTTGGAGTCTGACCCCCCTCTGGGCACTAAGATTTCTTTCCTTGTGCTTGAGGGGTGCGGTGGGGGGGGGAGTGGTTTGTGACATCCCTGCCCCTTAGGCCGCCTGGAAGTTGACAGCACAAGGATCAAACATACCTCATCAGTTGGGCCCCTCAACCCTGAAGAGCGGGAAAAGATGACCTTCCTCTTGGCTTGGCGGTCACTTCCCCTGGCTCCAGCCACTAGGGAATGGGAACGGGGTGGCTGGTGATCAGGAGGGGCATTTTAGCTCCTCTCCTCCTCAAGAGGAGCCAGTATCTGCTCACCTAGGTAATGGAGATGATTTTGATGCCTATGGAAGGATAGAAGGGGGTATTCAGGGTGTTAATGTAGTGGGAGCTTGTATCTTTCCTAAAAGTGGTGGGAGGTCAGGAGCCTCTGTGTGGGGATCTGTTCCATAGTCGCTGTATGTGTGGGTGAAGATTTTCGGGGTATCGGTTGGGAAACGATAGCGGGTGACTTGAGGAAGAGATGTATGTTTTCCTGAGCAAGTGAGGGAAGATTTTAAGCTCAAAGAAGATCCAGAAGATGGAAAGTGGGTAATTGAAACGCTCACTGTGTTGGAAAAGCGCGGAGTAACTCTGTGCTGGGGTAGTGGGGAGAGGGGGACACGCGCTCTGGGCTGGCGGGTTCGCCCCTCATCTCCTGCTGGTTTACGTCCTGCCCCCCCTCTGTCTTCTTTCATCCTCCGCCCCTCCACAGAAGGTGCTGGGACTGCTGCTGGCTCATTCAGCAGATGTGAATGCCCGGGACAAGCTGTGGCAGACACCACTGCATGTGGCTGCTGCCAACCGGGCCACCAAGTGCGCTGAGGCTCTGGCGCCCCTGCTGAGTAGCCTCAACGTGGCCGACAGGAGCGGGCGCAGCGCCCTGCACCATGCAGTGCACAGTGGGCATCTGGAGGTGAGGGCCGCGCCAGGCCACGCCCCGCTTCCTGCCTGCCTTCCCTTCCCGCTCCCCTTCCCCTGCCTGCAGGCCACTAGGCCTGGGGAGCAGCAGCCCAGATGATTACATAAATACTTGGGCTCAAGCACCAAATGAATGGTTGGGTTAGAGGGGAATTCTTGACTTGGACCTCCAGAGGGTGATAAAACCTCTGAAGCTGCATGGAAGATGTTTGCCTACATGCTTTTTTCTGAAGGGAGAGCCCATGTTCTCCAGCACATTGAGGAGACTTTGAAAGAGTTCAAAAGCCGCTAGCTCACCTGAAGAGACTCTTGAGTTGACCTCAGATTTCCACCTCTATCTGGTTTTTCGTTGCTTGTTTTCCCCTTTCCCCTAGTTCTCCAGATTGTTCTGCCCAAGAGCAGAGACTTTGGGCTGCCTCAGCCGTTTCAGGTGCTCTCAGGTACACTGAAGGCAGGAGGCTGGCTCTGAACAGGTATCTTTGCTGTCCGGCTACAGACGGTGAACCTGCTCCTCAACAAGGGAGCCAGCCTGAACGTTTGTGACAAAAAGGAGCGGCAGCCTCTGCACTGGGCGGCTTTTCTAGGTGAGAGGAGGATCTGGGGTGAGCAGGATTTGGGGCTCCTCGGGCGGGGATGGGGGGTTGCAGCCTCTGGCGGTGCTCACCCTCCACATTCCTGAGCGCATGCGCTCCCCTCCCAGGGCATTTGGAGGTCCTGAAGCTGCTGGTGGCACGGGGCGCAGACCTCGGCTGCAAGGACCGGAAGGGCTACGGGCTGCTCCACACCGCCGCCGCCAGCGGCCAGATCGAAGTGGTGAAGTACCTGCTCCGGACGGGGGCTGAGGTCAGGGCGCGGTGCGTGGCGGCGGGCTCGGGGTGAGGCCAGGGGGCTGGGGTCCAGAACCTCTTCGGGAGACGGGAGGGTGCTGGGGTTCCTGGTGTGGTTTGGGGAGTTGGGGGGATGTGGTGAGAGGGTCTGAATAATGCTTGTCTTAAGCAGAAGTGACTTCAGTCTCTGGGTTGGGAACCTGAGGGGTCTGAGGCCACTGTTGGATTTCTGAGACTCTATCTGTGCTGGCTTCCACTTTGTTTAAACTGATACCTCCCTTATCCCGTGACCCTCACCCCTGGAAATCCAGATTGATGAGCCCAACGCTTTTGGAAACACAGCTTTGCACATCGCCTGCTACCTGGGCCAGGATGCTGTGGCTATCGAGCTGGTGAATGCAGGAGCCAACGTCAACCAGCCGAACGACAAGGGCTTCACGCCGCTGCATGTGGCCGCAGTCTCCACCAATGGCGCACTGTGCTTGGAGCTGCTGGTCAATAACGGGGCGGACGTCAACTATCAGGTGCCTGAAGGGAGGCGTCTGGGACTCGGGGGAAGAGGACCCTGGCTCTGGGGGTGCTGACTGTAACTTCCCCTCTGGATAATTCTCTGGGGAGTCATCTGCTTGTGTCCTGGGTTGACCAGAGCTTCCCAGGAGAAAGCGGGTTGAGAAGATGTCCCTATGTGGTCACCCTGTCTTCAAAGATGTGTCCTTTGGGAAGGGGAATAGGGCACGCTCCATGGTTTTCCACCAGGGGAAAAAATGCTGTGTTTCCACAGAGCAAAGAAGGGAAGAGTCCTCTGCACATGGCTGCCATTCACGGCCGTTTCACCCGCTCCCAGATCCTCATCCAGAACGGTATGGCCTTGGGAGGCTTTGTGACCTCTTCTCCCTCCTCAGAGAACTGGCCTCTAGAGAGCCCCCTCTTCCTCCTCCCCCCTCCCGCGCCATCCCCAGTCAGGACAGGCCGCTGGAGCTCTGGAGCCAGGCGCCTGTGGACGTGGCCCTGCTCCGCCTGCCCAGCGCCCGCCGATGGTGGCTCACGGATGCGCGGGAGTGGCCCGCAGCCTGGCGTGAGTTCAGTGGTGCGTGCGCTGCCCCCTTTCAGGCAGCGAGATCGACTGCGCCGACAAATTCGGGAACACGCCGCTGCACGTGGCCGCTCGCTACGGACACGAGCTGCTGATCAGCACCCTCATGACCAACGGCGCGGACACCGCCCGGTGAGCGCGGGCCCGGCCCAGGCCGGCCGGCGGTGGGGCTGCAGCTGGCGCCCCCAGGACTGAGCCCCTCCCCTCTCCCAGGCGCGGCATCCACGACATGTTTCCCCTGCACTTGGCGGTTCTCTTTGGATTCTCCGACTGTTGCCGCAAGCTCCTTTCCTCAGGTATGAGCTCGGGCGGGCGGGAGGGCGGGAGAGCGGCCCGGCCCCGCCCCGGCCACGCCCTCAGGGGGGACCTGCGGCTCTTCGGCCCCACAGGTCAGCTGTACAGCATCGTGTCCTCGCTCAGCAACGAGCACGTGCTTTCAGCCGGGTTCGACATCAACACGCCGGACAACCTCGGCCGTACCTGTCTTCATGCTGCTGCTTCCGGAGGGTGAGCTCTCGTCCCTCCGTCTCTCCCCCAGGCCTCACGAAGGCGACTGGGGCAGTCTGGACCCCTCCTTCTCTCCTGCCCAGAGCGCCCGCCTCTCCGGGTGAGGAGGCGGCGGCAGAAAGGGCTGTCCAGGTCCGCCCTCCCTGGGGAGACCCCCGGGGCTCCTCCCGGAAGCGCCGTCTCTGGTTCACCCGCAGCTTCCTTCCTTTCAGGAATGTCGAATGTCTTAACTTGCTGTTGAGCAGCGGAGCCGACTTGAGGCGGAGAGACAAGTTCGGAAGGTGTGTTAATGTGCAGGAGTGTGTGTATGCAGAGAAGGCGCCCGATCGAGAGACCGGTGATGGAGGAAGTGATGGAGGCCAGGGTGGGGAGTTGGGGACCAAGGGGGGACAGCATTACAGGGCAGCTTTTGGCTGCGCCGCTGGTTGCGTTTGGACCTGCCCCTGATTCTTTTCTCCCCGCTCCTGCGCTTCGCCCCAGGACCCCACTGCACTACGCAGCCGCCAACGGCAGCTACCAGTGCGCCGTCACGCTGGTGACCGCCGGGGCCGGCGTCAACGAGGCCGACTGTAAAGGCTGCGCTCCCCTCCACTACGCCGCCGCCTCCGACACCTACAGGAGGTGAGGCGCCCTCCCGGCCCTTCCCAGCCCCACACTCCCCCCGAGCACGCCGCCAGACTTCCTCCCTCCCCCCCACCAGGGCGGAGCCGCACTCGCCCTCCAGCCATGATGCTGAAGAGGATGAGCCGCTGAAGGAGTCGCGCAGGAAGGAGGCCTTCTTGTAAGTAGCAGAGAAGACCCCTGGGCTGCCCCGCCCCGGCCCTGCAGACGCCCGTCCTGTTCTTCTCCCACCGCCGTCTGCTGCTGCCTTGCACCCTGAGTTTAATCCTGGGCCAAGCACCGTGGGTCAGACAGAAGTGGGAGAGATACTTCCTTCCTTCAAAGAAATGGATGGTCTTCTTGAGAGGATCAGAAAAGCTAAACACAAATTCATTTCTTCCTCAAGCGTTGAATGAGTGTTTACTTAACCAGTACACCAAGTACCGTTCTAGGTGGTAAGGGTAAAAGATGAATTACCCCAAGTTTCTGCATTTTATACCGTCTAGTGTAAGATGTCAATAATAGAGGAAATTGGGTGACGCATATATGGGACCTCTCTATTATCCTCTTAATTTTTCTTTAAGACTGTTATAGTTATAAAGGGTTTATTTATTTAACAACAAAAAGATATTTAAAATCTAGGAGGCCTAACTTGTAACTGTGTGACTTCTGGCAAGTACCTTAATCTCTCTGCCTCAGTTTCTTCAGACACAGTAGGGATAAGAACAGTATCTACCTCAAAGGATCATTGTGAGGATTAAGTGATTACACGTGATGTGTTTAAAACGGTGTTTGACACGTTGTAATGTTAAATGCAATATTAATCCTACTGCTAGTAGAGTCCCTGCTGATCTGTGAGCGTGGTGTCTGGGGAGGAGGCACCTGTCGGGAAAGCTGGGGAGGGCCTCCCACAGAGGAGGGTGCTGGGAGCGCGTGGGAGATGAGCAGGCCTGTTCCCGATGGGCTCGGAGGAGAAGGCAGGGGTCAGTGTGCCTGCAGGTGGGGAGGAGTGTGTCGGTCAGCAGGTCGGTAACTGATGGATGTGCTCCGGGGTCTCTAGGAGCGCATTCAAAGGGTCGAGGAGGGCCCTGAAGCTAGAGTGGTTCAGGGCAGATCTGGAGGCGGTGGGTCTGGGTCTGGGGTCAAACGGGCTGGAGTTAGCCTAGTATGAGTGGGGGGTGGGCGTGGGCCGGCTCAGCCTGAGGGGGCCCTTTGCCCTCTCCTCTGCTCCTCCCAAACTGCACCCTCCCTGGCTGGGCCTGTCCATTCCTCACCGTCTGCTCCTGTCCCCCAGCTGTTTGGAATTCTTACTGGACAACGGTGCAGACCCCTCCCTGCGGGACAGGCAGGGCTACACAGCCGTGCACTATGCTGCCGCCTATGGCAACAGACAGAACCTCGAGCTGGTACGCGCGGGGGCCCGGTGTGGGGAGCGGGCCGGCCAGGGCCCAGCATGCAGTCTGTGTCTGCGTCTGCACTCTCAGGCTGAGGGGTGGCTGAATCCACTGTGGTCTCTCAATCCAGGGGCTTCGGGGATGGCTGTGGGTGGAATCAAGGGTGATGTTTTGGGAATACCAGAACCTCAGCACCTCCTGTTCTGTCCATTGCAGCTCTTAGAAATGTCCTTTAACTGCCTGGAGGATGTAGAGAGCACCATTCCAGTCAGCCCTTTGCACTTAGCTGTGAGTCCCAGGTCTTTTCCTCTTGCCTTCCCTGTCCCCCACCCGCCCCAGGCCGGCTCACAGGTACCAGCACGTGTGAATCCGTCCTTGCTTCTGCCTTCTCGTGGGGATGTGGCAAGCAGGCAGTGGTCTGAGAGGGGCCCAAGGAGCTCGCGGGGAGGCCTGCTGCCCAGAGTCTCCCTGTGGGACCCAAGAGCAGAGTGGGGCCATGTCTGGAGCTTTATCCACAGATTTCCCACACCCCTCCAGGCCTACAACGGTCACTGTGAAGCCCTGAAGACACTGGCTGAGACGCTGGTGAACCTGGACGTGAGGGACCACAAGGGCCGGACCGCGCTCTTCCTGGCCACTGAGCGAGGCTCTACTGAGTGTGTGGAGGTGCTAACGGCCCACGGCGCCTCTGCCCTCATCAAGGAGCGCAAACGCAAATGGACACCCCTGCATGCTGCTGGTAAGGCCGCCCCTTGGGCTGCTCCCTTCCCTGCCTCCTCTGGGACTGGTCCCCAGCTCCCTCCAGAACACTGAAGGGACTGGGGTTGCGACAGGGCAGGGCAAGGAGGATGGAAACCTCAAGTCCTGACTCTCCCCCAAGACTCCTCCCCACCCCGTGTCCTCCCATACCCCCACCCTCCGCCCGGGCTTCCCCGACCATGCCTGACACTGAGGGTCCCCTCTTCATCTAGCTGCCTCTGGCCACACTGATTCCCTGCACTTGCTGATCGACAGTGGGGAACGCGCTGACATCACGGATGTCATGGATGCCTATGGACAGTGAGTGTGAGCTCGGGGTGGGCTGCAGGGTTCCCAGCCCTGCCAGGCCCTCACCCTTTCCCCGCGCCCTCTGTAGAACCCCACTGATGCTGGCCATCATGAATGGCCACGTGGACTGTGTACATCTGCTGCTAGAGAAAGGATCCACGGCTGACGCTGCTGACCTCCGGGGCCGCACTGCCCTCCACCGCGGGGTGAGTGGGCTTTGGGGTGGGGCTGCTCACAGAAGGGCTTGGACACAGGAGCTCATAGTAGGATATCAGATTGTCTAGTAGGTGGGCCGGAGTCTTAGAGGGCATTAGCATGCTTGCTCCAGGATGAGGATCTGATGCCTGCAGTTCATCTCCCTGACTACCTTGCTCTGTGATGGGAAAGATTGAAGGCAGGAGGAGAAGGGGGCAACAGAGGATGAGATGGTTGGATGGCGTCACCAACTCAATGGACCTGAGTTTGAAGATAGTTGAGACAGTGAAGGCCAGGGAAGCCTGGCGTGCTGCAGTCCATGGGGTCGCAGAGAGTGGGACATGACTTAGTGACTAAACAATCCTTAGAATCACTGTTGCAAAGACAAGATTTGGAGCCCGGGAAGCGGTTCCTACTCCTGGGCCAGCCTCAGGACCGACACCCCCACGCCACCCGCAGGCCGTGACAGGCTGTGAGGACTGCCTGGCTGCCCTGCTGGACCACGACGCATTTGTGCTGTGCCGAGACTTCAAGGGCCGCACGCCCATTCACCTGGCCTCAGCCTGCGGCCACACCGCAGTGCTGCGGACGCTGCTGCAGGCCGCCCTGTCCACGGACCCCCTGGACACCGGGGTGGATTACAGCGGATACTCGCCCATGCACTGGGCCTCCTACACTGGTGCGGCTCCGGGCCTTGTGGGGACAGCTGAGACGGGGGTGGAGGGGTGTGGGCAGGGCGGACAAGGGCTCGTGGGTCACTCTGGACCTGGAAGTAGCATGGGGTGTCGAGAGATGGGACAGGACCAGTGAAAGGGGCCATGGTGTCATCCTCTCCATCGCCACTCTTCCCTCCTCGTCCCCAGGACACGAAGATTGTCTGGAGTTGTTACTTGAACACAGCCCGTTTTCATATCTGGAAGGAAACCCCTTCACTCCTTTGCACTGTGCAGTGTAAGGCGCTTCCTCCGCCCCAGCCCCCGCCAAGGGTCTGTGATGTGGGCATCGGACAGACCATCTGTTTCCCCATGCCCCTCCTGCTGACCCTTCCTCTTCCCCCAGTATTAATAACCAGGACAGCACCACAGAGATGCTGCTGGGAGCTCTGGGTGCCAAGATTGTGAACAGCCGAGATGCCAAAGGACGGTGAGTGGCAGGAGGCTTGGGAGACGCCTCCGCTGCCCCTGGCTTCCTCTCTCTGCTCAGGAGAAAGGGCCTCCCGGTTCACTCTGCCCCGACCCCTCCCCACAGGACCCCTCTTCACGCCGCTGCCTTCGCGGACAACGTCTCTGGGCTCCGGATGCTGCTGCAGCACCAAGCCGAGGTGAACGCCACGGACCACACTGGCCGCACCGCGCTCATGACAGCGGCTGAGAACGGGCAGACTGCAGCCGTGGGTGGGTAGGGGCCCCATGTGGATGGGAGGTACTCCCCCTGGGTTTTCACGAGATGAGTCAGCCCTGCCGGCGGGGCTTAGGAGGCATGTCTTTGAATGTTTCACCCTCTGCAGAGGGGATGCAAAACATGCGTGGACAAGAGCGGGGAGAGCCTGTCTGGCCCAGCTCTGGAAGGGAGCGCCACCCTTCTCTGCCTCCCTTCTCTTGTAGAATTTCTGCTCTATCGAGGGAAGGCAGACCTTACTGTGATGGATGAGAACAAGAACACTGCCCTCCACTTGGCCTGTAGCAAGGTACCGTCTGCGCTGCTGGTGGGTCTCTCTGAATGCGGCAGGGCCTGAGGAGAGGCCCGGGTCCGCTGACAGGGCTCAGGGGACGTCAGGGGCGCCCTGACCGCCTGCCTGGTGGGACAGCTCCGTGCACCCCTGCCCCCCTCCTCAGCTCCCCTGGTCGGCTTCCACGTCTCCAGCCCTCACTCTCTGCCCCCCTCCCTCAGGGCCATGAGAAGTGTGCCCTCATGATCCTGGCAGAAACCCAAGACCTTGGCCTTATCAATGCCACCAACGGCGCGCTGCAGATGTGAGTGCCTGGGCTGGGGGGCTCTTGGCTGAGGGGTGGGGGCCAGGTGAGGTGGACAGGAGGCTGCTGCCCGTTCCCGGGGCTCTGGCTCTCTGGAGCTCACGGTATTCGCCCTGCAGTGTGGCTGCTCCGGCCGAGGGTGGAAGGGCAGCTGGCCACCCCCTTGACTTCACCCTGCCCTTGTTCCTTTCTTCCAAGGCCGCTGCACATCGCTGCCCGGAACGGCCTGGCCTCCGTGGTGCAGGCCCTGCTGAGTCGCGGGGCCACCGTGCTGGCTGTGGATGAAGAAGGTGGGTGGGGTCTGGGGTCGGGGACGTTCTTCAGGAGGTGACTTCTTAACCTGGCTGGTTAATAAACTGGATTTTCTTCCCAAGGGAACTCTTCAGAGCAGGGACCCAACACCGATACGCTAGAGTCTCTGAGGGGAGTCTGACGGAACTAGGTGGAGCCTGCAGGGTCCTCAGGACGACCTCCCGCACACCTCAGCCTCCTGTCCCCGGGCCCTGCTCTTTGCCCTCGCTCGGACAGCCTGCCTGTCAGCCCCCCGGGGCCCCCAATTGTGACCCTGTGGGGTGTTGGCCTGCCTCGGCTCCCCTCTGCAGAGAAGAGCGCTCAGGGCCCGGGGCGGGTGGACGGGGCCCAGGGATCCAGGACTCTGGGCTCAGTTCTCGCCTTTGCCCCGCAGGTCACACCCCGGCCTTGGCCTGCGCCCCCAACAAAGATGTGGCAGACTGTCTGGCCTTGATCCTCTCCACCATGAAGCCTTTCCCACCCAAGGACGCTGTCAGTCCTTTCAGCTTCAGCCTGCTCAAGAACTGCGGCATCGCGGCAGCCAAGACGGTGGGTGGCTGCGGGGCCCTGCCCCACGGGGCCTCACGCCCCTACAGCCAGGAGCGGCACGGTGCCGTTGGCTTAGACGGCTGCTACTCCGAGTAGCCCCCTGCAGTGTCCCTCCCCGCCGGTGGCTTGATTCCTTGTTCTATTTATTTAGGAAAAGTCTATACATTTAGGGCACTTTAAAGGAGAACGCGACTGGGCTGGGGGTGGAGGGGAAAGCGCTGGGGGGTGGCTGCTCAGCCCTTTGCCACCCGTCCTGGCCTGGCAGGGCTCTGGGACCAACAGGGAGCATCCCGGGCCCTTGGTACCCCCAGGGCACCCCTTCTGCCGAGTGTCCCAACACGACAGCTCGCTGCCTGGCGCCCGCCTCTTCTATCCCCTCTCTCAGTTCCCCCTTCTGCTGCCAGCTGCCCCTTCCTCTTCCTTCTGACTCACCTCAGGCCCCTTCCCCCCACCCCTGCCAGGCAGATCCCCGCCTCCTCTTCCATGCCCATCACTGCCTCCCTGCTCGCCGGCCCCTCCATCCCCGCAGCAGTGAGAAGCCTTAATTTCTGGTACTGTGTGAGCACTCTGGGGGTGTCCCCCTCCCCCTTCAGGGGCAGCTAGCGGACGAGGGGGGAGGGTATTTAGCACTGGGGCCTGGAGCTTTTCCCCTCCTTCTGTATCCCATCACCCCTAAAGTTCAAATGCAAAACACTTGAAGCAGCAACTACTGTACCTGGGCCCCAACCCTGCACTCTCCCGGCTCCTCGTATGCAAATCAAGGGCTGGCACTGCCCTGGCAGCCTGCCCCACCCCCACCCCGCCCCTGCCCCCTGCTGGCCTGGCCTCCTGACCACGCACTTTAACCCCCCACCCCGCTTCTTTTAACTTCTTTTGGGAGGGCGGAGCCTGTGGCCATTCCCCCTCTGGCTCTCCCCTCCCTTGACTTTGAGGCTTGTCATGAATTTTTAAGTAAGCATTTTATCCTTTAGGGGAAGAAACAAATTAATTTCCTGTCCATTTCAAAACCACAGCCCTAGTCTGTCCTCTGTGTTTCAGGCATGTGTTTGCATGTGTGCGGAGGGAGAGCCTGTTCTTCCTTCTGTGTCCCCGTCCCACAGTTGCTCTCTGCACCCACCCCAGCCCATCTGCTGCCGCCTTCTGTGATGCCCAAGAGTACCCATTGCCCCCAGTCACTCCTGATCTGAAGCCAAAGATGGAGGGGCAGGGCAGACTAGGGACCGTGGCTGCTCTGGAGCCCAGGCGTCTTCTCTGCCTAGAGGCGAGAGGCGGAAGGTCTGCGTCAACTGGGGTTGGTCCCTGCCCCCCCAGCAGCTGGGAGAGAAGGGATCAAGCTAAGGGATGCGCTGAGATTTCCCGGCGTTGCACCCTACAAGCCAAACTGGGCTGGAGTGAGGAGGGGGCAGTTTTCTCTCTAAATGTAGCATTGAATTTGGCCCTGGTCCCTTCAGACGCCCTGTCCATCCATCTCCTAGCTCTGCCTCCTGGAGAGTGGGACCTGCTTCCTTAGCCCACCGTTCCTTTCCTCACACTCAATACCTCAGCCAGGGGCCAAGACACAGAACTTGAATAGAGGTCCTGCCCTCCCCACCGCGCGCGTCCGCGCCAGTCTGGCTGCCATCAGTATTGCCCCGAGGACTGGACAGGCTTCGTTTACACTGCAGGGCCTCCCGGGGCGGGGGTGCCCTCAGGCCCCTTCCCCGCCCCTGCGTGCTTTAGTCACCACCTTCTACACCCTTTGCAGCTGTGTCCCCGCACGTCTGGCCGCCCTTGCCTGGGGTGGGCTGAGGGGAGCGGGGGCACATCCCAGGGGCTGCCCGCTCCCTCAAAGACCCCCTTCACCATACCTCATGCTGGTTTCCCGGAGCCTGGGGTGTTCATCCCAGCCCTTCTTCTTTCTGTCTTGCTCCCGTTTCCTCCCCCCACCCCTCCCCGTGTCTTGCTTCCCGCAACCTTCAGTTCCTAAACCATTTCAAAGCTTCCGAATGACCATTATTGGTAAGAAGGAGTATGCAGCTTTTAGTTTTAATCTTTATTTTCAAAGCCAAAGGGCCTTGCAATGCCCCTCTTGCCCACCTCCCCACGCACCCTGTCCTCCCCTAGACGACAATCAACGTGACCTCTCTTAAGGGCTGCAGCCCCCTGCCCGTCCCCCGTCCTGCTGGTTCTGCAGAGCTCGCCCCTGACTTCACTTCTCTCTCCTTCTTCCTGTTCCGGCCCCCCCCCCCCCCCGTTTTGGTGCTGGGAATTAGGTGGCAGGGCGGGGGGTGGGGGTGGGGCGCAGGGAGACGGGTCCTCGGGATTAGACTCTCGAGATTGCAGTCGTGTTCTCCTTCATCAGTGTCTGGTGACGACAGGAAGGCTCGAGTGTTTGTCGGGAGCCCCGTGGTTTTGCTCGATGAGATTTCTGGAGGCTGCCCGGCCCCTGCCGCGCTTTTGGCACACCATCAGCAGTGCCAGGGCAGGCGTGAGGAGGCCAGGAGGCTGGGCAGCCTCCTCCCTAATGCCAAAGGAAGTCCCACACCCCACCCCGGGCTCCCCAACCCCTAGTGTCTTTTGAAGCATTTTGACCATTCTCATGGCCACTGCATATTTATTTTAATGTTAAGTTTTTTGGTTTTTGTTTTAAACCTCTTTGACTTAAACGGGTGTGGAGAAATCAGCCAGGCAGAGTGCCCCTCCCCAGTCTTAAGGAGGTAGGGCGGGGAGGAATCATCTCCTTCCCTTCACCCTCCCGCTCCCTGTCCCCTTCTCCCCACCGCAGCTCTAAAGCACTTGCTTCAAGTAATAAGCACTTTTGAGAAAAGGCCTACTTTAAGTGAGGACCCTGGGAGCCACCCCAGGTCCCAGTGAAGGGGTCAGAGCGAGGGCTACGCAGGAGACGGGGAAACAGTCAGAGGGCGCGATGGAAAGAGCCAGTTTTTAGTTTCTGACTTTTGGGGAGATGTTTCTGATTGGGCGGTGGCTTTGGTAGGGTTGTGTACTATCCTTCAGAAAAACAAATGGCACAAACTGTGGGTCCCTGGACGGACCAACAGACCCGGGTCCCTGCTGCTGTCCCGCTGAGACGGACGGGGGCCCCCTCCCTCGCCCCGTGGCCCCCTGAGCCGGCGGACTGCTGAAAACCACTGAATGTACAGCCCAGGCTGGGGTGGGAGCGGCCCCGGGGGGAGGGGGCTTCTCCTTCCGTTCGGTGCTGTGGGGGGCGGGAGAGACGAGACGGAAGGACTGCCGCCCCACTTAGACGTGTTCCTTGGGGTGGGGGGGCTGAGGAGGGCCTGCCTCCCCCTCCGACCCCAGCCATGGTCCCCCTTCCTTCCTCACCCCTATCCGTTTTGACTGTAAGTCCAGCTCACCTTTGCCTTCAATGTGTAACCAAAGGAAAACTCAATACTGTTAACACCGCTGTCTGCCCACCCGAGCACCTTCTCACTCCCTGGACCCAGGAGGGGAGGAGAGGCTGGGCGGGGCAGGGGGCATGGGGCCAGAGTGAGCGGCTCTGCAGCTGTGCGCCCCCCTCGGGGTCTTGGGAGGGGGCGCTGGGCCAGGCGCGCTCCGGGTCTTGTGTCCGTGAGCTTGCCTTGGTCTGAGTGGCTCCGGGGGCTGTGCTCTGAGGGCGGCCCCTTCCTGCTCCCCCTCTGCCACTTCTCCCCCTCTCCCCACACCCAGTGTTCATTCCCCCACCTCCCCTTCCTGCCGCAAAGGAAAATAGCCTTACAGACCCTAGCCCAGAAGCCCTCCTCTTGGGGCAAAGCAGTGCGGGGGCCCCAGCCCACCTAGTGTGAACCCTACCTTTGAAGGAGGGATAAGGAGGAAAGCAGCCCCTTCCGTCTAAAGTGGTGGCCCCGGCCCTCAGCCTTGACCCAGCCTGGGCAAGAGCCGAGGGGAGGGATCTTTGAGGACCAAGCCCAGTGGTCTGGGAAGAGGGAGGTAGAGAGGGAAGGGTCTGACTTGGGGACCCCCTCCTCCCGACCCAACCCCTAGAGAAGCGACCAAATCCCAGAGAGGAGGAAGCTGGGGTGGGGAGGGTCTGCTCTATGAATTACTTGAAGGTACTGACTGAGGCTGCTGCTGCCCACTTAGGTGTAGGGGACAGTCACTGCGTTTGGGGGGGCCGCGGGGGGCAGGGTTGGGGTCTGCCCTGGGCCCTCGCCCCCTCCTGCCAGGCGCGTTCCCTGGGGAGCCTGGCTTCGCCCCCCACCTGTGCCCCTCACCCTGGGCATCTGTCCAATTGCACTAAAGTAGCGGTGTGCCAGTCTTACCCCACCCCGGGGCGGGGTCTCTGCTTCCAGTCCTTTCAGCCCACCCGCCTCTGCCCCCGTCCCGGACAATCTCCTTGTTCCTCTGTATTCCCGGGTAGCTCAGCTTTGTGTGTGTGTGTGTTTTGGGGGGTGGGGTGGGTTCTGGCTGGAGTGGGCTTGCTAGGGGTTTGGGAAGGGCTAGGGGAAAGATGGCGGATGAAATCTCCTGCCCCCTTCCTCAGCTCCGGCCACATAAGCCTGGGAGGGAGGGTGCCTACCCTCGCCGCCGCGTGTCTTGCAGATGTGCCAAAATGGGGGTGGGGGGGAGGGTGCCTGGCAGAGCAGCCCCCAGGGTGGCGCTCTCAAAGCAATACAGTCCCTCCGGCCTGGGGGACGGCAGGACAGGGGAGAGGGTTGGGTCGGGGCCTGGGGGTCCCCGTGTACAGCTGTGTATATCCAGGGGTGTTCTCCGTCTGGTACCCGCCGCGGGCGTCTCTGTGTGTGAACCTCCCCTCCCCCGTGCCCTGCATGACCTGTGATGCTGCAGACACCACCATCCTGTGTGCAGGGGTGCGCTGGGGGCGCGAGGGGCGCGCCCCATGCCCTGCCGCTCCCGCCGCCCTGTGCCCCATGTACTCGGTTGTAGGAAGTAAAGAGAACTGAGCACAATCCACTGGATTCTAGTTGAATCTTTGTCTAAGCAATGCTCCCCGCCCGCCCTCCTCCCTGTCCTAGGTTCACCTGCGGTGCTAGCGTGGGGGGCGGGGGCGGGGCGTTTGAGGCCGGTGGGCAGCAATAAAGGGCAGCCCTGCCCGGATGCCTGCATCCCCAGGGTGCTGAGGGCAGCAGGGAGAAGGGGGGACCTCGGTGCATCGTCCCGACCCAACCTGCCCCTTCCTCTCCGGGCTAAAGCACAACGCTGTCCCCGCAGACCAGACCCAGCGTCCTGCGCCCTCCGCCCGCCTGCTTTGGGCCCTCCTGCCACATCCCCGGGTTTCTGTGCTGTTCTGGTGCGAGTACAGCTGTCGTCGTCGTGGCTTGGGGATGGGTTCTGTTTATTAAAATCCTATTGATCCTACTGGCCCTGCGTCCTGCCTCCATTCCTCTGGCCGGGGGAAGGCCGGGCAGCCTGGACGCCTTTCCCCCAGCGCCCCCTCAGTCGTCAGAGGCGAGGGGCCACAGCTGCCCCTCCAGCACGGCTATGGCGAGCATGAGCGCGCCCCCCAGCAGCAGCCCCAGCCCCTGCAGCAGCACGTGGAGCCGGGGCAGAGGCTCGGGAGGACGGAGCAGGGCTGGGAGCTGGAAGGAGAGGACGTCGGGGTCAGAGGAGCCCCTGCTTCCCGCACGCCCCGTGCCCCCGCTCGCCCCTCGCCCCGCTCCCGCGCTCGCGTCTCGGATGCCGGAGAGCCGGGCTCCGCCCCCGCCCCGCCCCCTCGGGCTCTCTGCTCCCCCCGCCGCCCCTCACCATGTCCACGAGGGCCACGTAGAGGAAGACCCCGGCCGTGACCCCGAACACCCAGGGAGTGAGGGGCACGGGGCCCAGGCTGAGCCCCACGCCCAGGGCCGCGCCCCCCAGCCCCAGGACTCCGGACACCAGACTCAGCAGGAGCAGCTGCCGGAAGGGCAGGCCGGCCTGGAGCAGCATGGCGAAGTCACCTGCGCGGAGAGACGCGGCAGCGGGCAGTGAGCCCCGGCCAGCCCTCGCCCACGGCACCCCCCGGCCTCCACGTGCCCCCGCTTTCTGGAGGCAACCCCACTCCACTGCGGCCGTCCCTACCCAGCTCGTGAGGCAGCTCGTGGCAGAAGACCGCTACGGTGGTGCTGAGACCGCTGGAGAAGCCGTCAGAGAAGGCAGCCCCTGGGTGGGCCAGAAGGGAGGTGGGCAGTCTGGAAGAGGGGTCTTCCCCGAGGCAGGGGGGCAGGGGCCCCGAGCTCCGCCCTCCGCCCACTTCCCGGTAGCCCTGCCAGCCCCACCCAGTAACTAGAGGCCCACCCTCTCCCTGACCCCCGCCCTCCATCCCCCGTCCCACACACCGATGGCCAGCCCGTCAGTGAGGTTGTGCAGACCGTCTCCCAGGAGGACCATCCACGTGATGTTGGTGCCACCACCACCCTGGCACCCGTGACTGTGGCCTTCGTGCCCAGGAGGGGCTGGGGCTGCTGGGGGCTGGCCGTCCTGCTCCCTCGGGCTCTGAGCCCCCGGCTCTGTGGGAAGGACAGGAGCCGTGTTGGCGGCTGCAGGTGAGCTGGGGGCCAGGGCCCACCCCTCAGGTTCTCCGGCCACCTGGAGCTGCCGGCCGGGGCTGAAGGGCCGTCCCACTGCCATCCTCCAGGTCCAGGCTTGGAGTTCTGAGGTCCTTCCTTTTCTGCCTGCAGCATCTCTGGAACGGGAGGGCACCCTTCCTGGTGGAGGCAGCAGAGCGGGGGGCAGGGAGCCGGGCCGCCGGCCCCAGTGCCGGCGCGTGGGCTGCCCCCGCTCTGCTGTCCCCCCAGCTCGGCACCCCTCCGTCTCTCCTTGCCCCGAGCTCAGGGGAGGAGCCCGTTTGGCCGGAAGCCCTGGGTCTGTGCTGAGGAGCCCGAGCCCACTCCCTGCGGGCCATCAGGCCCCGCGCACAGTCAGGCAGACGTCAGGGCCAGGAGCACTCGGCCCCTCACCTCCCAGCTGGAGCGGCCAGCTCTCGGCTAGGGCTCGGGTCTCGGCAGGAAGAGGACAATAGGGTGTCACTCACTGGCTCGCGCCCTCGACGCCGCAAGAGCCCCAGCACATTCTCCAGGATGAAGAGCAGGAAGACGCCTCCGAGCGCTGACAGCCCCGGGCCCAGGTCCTCCTCCGGCCGCCCGCCGGCTGCAGCGTGCTGCCCGCCTTGGGCCTGCGGAGAGGCGGTCAAGGGCAGGCTCCAGAAGCCCCCACAGCCGACAGCACCCCTCTCCCGAGGGGGCCTTCACCCACACTCCCCGCCAGAAGGCAGCTGCGGGCTGCCGCCGGGCCGGGAGAGAGCATGTCCCGTGACGGGGGCCCTGGGGCCGGGGGCGGGGAAGGGGCTGCACGTACGTGCGGCAGCAGGTGCAGCAGCGCATCCCCGCAGAGGGTGCCCACGGCCACGGCCCCCAGGAAGCCCAGCAGGGGCCGCAGCAGACGAGGCCCCAGGAGCCGCAGCACCAGCAGCGAGAGCGGCGCAGGCAGGCTGAGCAGCAGGACCGCCAGGGCGCTCTGAGCCAGGGCTGCGCAAAGTCAGGGGCTGCAGTCAGGTGGAGCTGCAGGGACACCTTAGAGGTGGGATGGGGCTGAGAGGTGCTGCCAGGGGAGGCAGGACCCCGGTGAACCCCCTTCCTTGGCCTGAGACCCACCCCCCACTCCCGCTCTCACCCACTGACCAGATAGTAGATCCCCTGGGGGGCTCGGAGCTGGGGCCCGGATGCAGACACGACTGTCAATCTGATAAAGCAGGGCTGGACACAGCAGAGCGAACTGACGAGGCGTGAGAGCGGCAGCAGGGCTCAAGCCAAAATTGACCAGCAGCTGGGAGCCGTTCAGACACTGGGCAGGTAGAGCTGGAGGTTAGGCACTGGGGAACTGCTGGGACCTGGGACTCAGATATTGGGTGTCTGCCCTTCCACTGCATGAACTCCTGGGTCTCTTCCAGGGTCCCCTTCACTCACACTGGCGGGTGCGTCAGGGACTCAAGACAGTTACTGATAATCAGCACGTGTTCATTATCAGTGAATATGCAAACCAGAGCAAATAATTCAGTGCAAACTGGGTGCTAGTGAGCACTGGCATCATCTCCCTCCCTCCGTAGCTCTGGTGTCTCATTAATTTAGTGATGATGGTCAGACAACTAGAGCCCTCCCTTCCAGAATCTTAGAAGGGAGAAGAACCTAAAATGCCACTCAAACCTCCTCTGAACAGCCCTGACACATTCCACCAGCCTTGGATCAAGTGCTTCCTGTGATGGGGTGCTCACCCTCACCAGGTCTGTTTCAGGGCTGGGTTTGGCCGCCCTCTGGTGTACATGGAACACGTTCACTGACTTTCTGGATGATGATAGCCATCCACCCCCTTCAGGCCTCCTGTCCAGGTAACCAGCCCCAGATTTCACCCTGGGCTGCTTCTCTGGATTCTCTGCTTTGCCAAGTGTGGCCCCTAAACCCAGTCTTAGAGCTCGGGGCATGGGTCTACCTACTGTGAGCACAGGGGAACATATTTCTCTACTGGAATAATGTACCCTAAGATCACACCTGGATTTAAGTAGCAATTTTAAATTACTGAGTCTTCAAACATTTCAGGCCATCTAAATCCCGTGGCTCCTATCCCCTCGGGAGATCATAAGACTCACATCCTCATTCAGGTGATCAGCCAGGGAATGGTCCAGCAGCAGAAGCCTGTGAAAGAGGCCCAAGCCCGAGGGGCCTGGCCCATGGGGTGGTCCTGGGGCCTTTGTCCCCGCCAGGTCACCCCACCCCGAGGGGTCCAGAGGCAACCCTGCCCAGACATTCACACTCAGCTCGGGGTCCTGCGTCCTAGAATGGATGGGACGGCAAGTCAGGGTCTGAAAAATGTGTGATTCCAGGAGTCTGATGTTAGGACGGCAGAGCTAGGCAGCCAGAGGAGACTCTTCTCAGTAGGGAAGAGCTGGGCTGTGACACTTTGGGTCGGGGGAGATGGGTTAGTACCTGTGTGTGGAATTGTCTCCACCTGGGGGTGCACCCCGACCAGCAGGAGGCCCGTGGTGTCCCAGGCGAAGGGCCTGAACTCGGCCTAGTCCCAGGCTGTGGAGGAGCCTGGCTAGGCCCCCTGCGGTCAGCGTCCCGTTCTCCCCATAGAGACCAAACAGCTGGGCCAGGTAATGGTTCTGTTCCTGCTCAGCAGGGCCCAGGTAGGGGCCTGAGCCCTCCACCCAGCCCAAGGCCACCCACACACACAGGCCAGCCAGCAGATGACTCATTGGGGGCCCCATTCCTGGGGGGACAGGCTCAGAGGCTCTGGTTCCGTCTTCTATTCCCCCTGGTGGAACATCCTGAGGAATGTGCCCTGGAAGAACGAGGAGGAAGGGGCTGGGGCTCCTGCCGTGAGCCCATACTCCTCACACCCCACCACAACCCAATACAGCGGCAGCCCCACTCGCTCACCCTTCCTCCCCATTGCCTCCTTCTGAGCAGCCTCTTGTTTACCAGTTCCTAGAGCAAGCACTTTTCCTGACCCAGAACACTGCTTTCCCCTGATCCAGAGCTGCCCAGACCATCCCTCCCTGTCCCCCAGAGCCCACCCCTCAGCCTCAGCCCACCTCGCTTATACCCCTCAGCCCCCAGGGCCTCACCCCACGGCAGCGTAGGAGCTGTCACCGCAGGCCCCCACGAGGCCTGGCTGTGGGCACTGAGGGGTTCCTGAGTTATGGAGGGGAGCCGGGCTCGGTCTCCAGCTGCCCAGGTAAGTTGGAGGCCACGTCAGATAGAAAGCCAGGATGGCCAAGCCCTCGCCCCTAGCCCAGCTGCCTGGGGGTGGGGCCAGGGGAGGTGCCAGAGTGGGAAGAGTCACATCAGAGGAGTTAATGGTTCACTGGTCTCTGGGGTGGGGGTCAAAGGTCAGTCTTGGCTGGGCCCCCGAGTAGGGAGGGGCCACCCTCTGCCCCTGGAAAAGCCACATGGCCAAGGAGAGCCTGGGCCTGGCCATTTCTTCTAAATAATTTACACACACCCCCAAGCCAGTCAGTACCATCTTAGCCTCTCGCTGCCTAAACTGCCACCCCACCTACCTTACATATGGCACTGGGCTTTGTTCAGCTCCAGCCCCCACGCCCCACGCCCACATTCCCTGGAAAGTTGGCCCCAGGTGTCCCTAAGCTGAAGAGGAGGGTGGAAGGCAGATGAGGGGCAACCCCAGACGCATGGGGAAGAAATTGTTTTCAGCAATTCCTCATCCCAGGAGAGAAAGAGCCAGAACTCAGGGAATCAGGGCCAAGACAGGGGACGCTCTGGTGGGAGGACCACAGGAGTGCCCGAGCCGCTGCAGGCGTCTGGCCTGGCCTCAGGCTGGGGAGCAGTCTGATCGGGGCGATCGGTCCAGGGGGTCGAGGCTGGCATTACCTGACAGCAGGAAGCAGGGACACCTGGAGGAAGGGGGACGCCGTCTTCTCGGTTCCAGCTGCAGGGGGGTAGGCAGGCAGGTGGACAAGGGTCACAGCAGGGAGTCGGCAGGGGAGGGGCACGCCCTTAAAGGGGCAGGCCCTGCTCCTCCCCTCCACCTCCTAGGGACACCCCACCTTCCGGAATGCCCAGCTGCCGATCTCTTCATGTTCCCATGTAAAGCAAACGAGTCCAGTACAGAGTGGTAAAGTAACATTTATTAGGAAGGAGAGATTCAATTAGACTTCCACATCACACGCTCAAGAAACAGACTAACCGTCGTTTCTAAGCAGGAAGGAGGGGAGGCAGATGGCCCCGAACCCCAGGAGACAGGCAGCTTCAGCTGGACAAGGAGGGGAGACTGGGCTGAGGGTGGGTAAAGGCCACTGCCCACCCACCCTCAGTGAAGTTTAGTGGCTAAAACACTCCTACCCCTGGCTCCCCAGAGGCGGCAGCCCGGGAGAAAGCTGTGCTCTCGAGCAGACGCCCGGCTCATGGCTGGTGGCGAGAAGCGGGCAAGGACCGCTATCTCTTGCTGCTCCTCCGGGTCTCTTTGCCGTTGCTGACGGCGTTGCTGGAGGGGCCGGGGGCGCCAGCAGGTGCGTGGTTGGGCTGGCTTCGGGTAATTCGGGTGCTGGGGGGGTGGGAGGGAGTGTGAGGCGGGTGTGGGCCACCGCCAGGACCTGTCGGGGTGCTCAGTCCATTCCCGTTCTGGCTCTCGGAGGCTAGGTGCGGGAGAAAGAGGGGAAACACAGGAATCAGAGAACTGAGGCAGGCAGGCGCCCGTCCCCAAGGCCTCCCTGCAGTCCAGCAGGCAGGACAGTCTCCGCCAAGTGCAGCGGCGTACTGAAGGCTGTGTGACCACGAGCAAAAACATGAGCTGCAGGAAGGGGCCCCAGAGACGACGCAATCATTTTGACAGTTGCTACATGAACCATTGTATATTTTCTTAAAACAAAAAAATTGTCTGCACCTAATAGTTTGTGGTATCTTACTTAGTTCCCTGGCCAGGGATTGAACCTGGGCCCTCAGCAGTCAGAGCAAGAAGTCCTAACCGCTGGACTGCCATGGAATTCCTATTTTTTCTTTTTTGTTCATCTCTATCATTAGGAGTCACACCTAGCTGTTTAGTGCTAGGCTCAAGGATCACCAACAAAATAGCTCTTGACCAAAACTGACTATAAAACTAAAGACTCACTGGGAAGGGAAGGGCCTTAAATTTGTGTTAAAATGTAAGAAGGATCTAGAAAGGAAGAAAAAAGTGTGGTGTGTGTCACAGTGAACCACATTCACTTGAGAAAATATAAACAAGAATAAGCAAATAAAAAAACTATTATACGTACTCACGCCCCCAAAATAATAGACAACACTTTTGTGTATGTTTTCAGTGTTTAATCTTTGAACTACCTTAGCTGTGAAAACCACTATCACCACACTTACCACAGTGTATTATTAACATAACCATCATCTGTGGGACTATTTCCTGCATGGACTTCGAGCTCCTAAAGACAAGTGCTGTGTTTTTTTCCCTTGTATTCCTCATCTATAAATGCTTGTTAAATGAAGATAGATGTCTGCCTCTCAAATACACAAGGCACCATGAACCCTAACTGTACCCCTGCTGGTCCATCAGGCAAAGATATCTGCAGACAAAACTGAAGAATAAAGCCCTTTCCTTAATTCAGAGAAATAATTAGGAGAGTATGTAGAAAGTCATTTTTTTATGCCATACATTTTTTTCTTTAAAACCTTCTGTACCTATTAGCAGAGGACAAAGCAAATAAACATGTAGCAAATGAATATGAGGGGACAAACAGGCTTAAATGTATCTTATTTAAAATATTTTTGTAAATGATAGAGTTATAGAGACCGGAGAATATGTAACTGTCATATTTTCAGTTGAAAATATGGATGCTACTTTTTATGGTGGAATTAAATGTTGTTATTTCATGGTGTTTCCAAAAAACACCATGACCTTGAGTGGTTCTAATGCAGGTTATGAAACCACGGTAACTGAGGATGCAGACACAGACTGAGGAACGATAGCGGCAGCCCAAAGTCTAGTGTCATGGGAGAAACATAAGGCATGGATCAGAGGCAAGAGTGCCAAACATCCAGGAGTAGTGGGGTCAGCTGGGAGATGACCCAGGAGAAAAGAACAGTAAAAAAACAGGTTTCTAAGGAAAAGCCAAGGGAAGAAGGGGGTGATGTTGGTGAATGATTCTAATTAAAAGTTGATGATCTACAGGAAGGCAAATTCTCAACAGACCAAAAGCAAGGGCTTCTTAGTTGGAAGAACCATAATCCCGGGGGTCAAGGCCTAGGAGCAGGACCTGAAATTTCAGGAGTGGCAACCCTAAACAGAAACGATCTCGTGCTTAGAGTGGTGCAGTGTGGACATGTTGAGTCAGGTAAGTAATAGTGTATCAGAACTGATACTGAATCAAAACAGGCAAGGGTGGAAAATGCCAAGTTTCTTCCAAAAAAGAAGTCAAAGAAGAGAGGAAGGAGCTAGAAAGAAAGAGGGCAGTCTGCAGAGAAACTGCTCTCATTTTTGGCTCTGAGTGTTAGTGGCAAAAAGGAGCTCTATCAGTGACAGAAACATATCCCCAAATGTTTCCACCTGAGGGAGTTGCAAAAGGACTGGGAGAGGGACTTCCCTGGTGGCCCAGTGGCTAAGGAGTCGCCTGCCAACGCAGGGGACGCAGGTTTGATCCCTGGTCAGGGTACTAACATCTCACGTGCCGTGGGGGCAACTGAGCCCACTCACCACAAGGAAGATCCTGTGTGATGCAAGTAAGACCTGATACAACCAAGTAAATAAATATACAAACGTTTATTAAAAAAAAAAAGAACCAGGGTGGAAAAGGCTATAATCAGAGAAAAGAGATTTAGAAAAGGGATGAAGGCGATGCATCTCTCTAGGCTGGGGAGAGTAGGGAAACTACGAGGACTAGTGAATGGAAGAGAACACACTCACCTGGAGAAGCAGCAGGGGGCCCAGTGGTAGGCTGGGGAGCCGCAGGGCCACTGTCGTTCTGCACCTGAAGGCACACACGACATATTCAGACCTTACTCTCTGCCAGGCTGCTTGGCCTGACCTGCCCTCCTTCCCCACATCACAGTCATGGGACCCACCGTCTTGTTGGGTGCCTGCTGGGCGCTGTATTCTGGGTTGGGCTCACTGAAGTTAGGAACCTCAGAATAAACCATACAGAATCTGCAAGGGGAGAAAGTGGCAAAGCCTCAGGCCCATCCCCTGGAAACCTCAGGAAGGCCCAGGTTCAGAACATGGAATGCACACCCTCATGCTGCCTCCTGCAAAACACAAGCTTCTTTCCTCTGCCTGTTCTTCTACTGGCCCAAGATAGCACTTACTCTCCAATCTTCTGAAGATCACCCCCACGGCCAGTGTACAACGTCAGACAACCTTTGAACACTGACGCGTACCTGTGGGGGCACAGAAAGCAGGGTTCAGAGTCACAGAGAAGGCCCTCGAATAACCAGAAGTCGCCTGATGGCTTACCCTTTGGTGAGCCGGATAATGTCCCCAGGCTGGATCAGGTTGCCCACGTCGTCCCAGACGGATATGTTGATGCTGCCGGTTTTGTCGGCTACTTTGCAGGTCCGAACCTCGTGTCCGTCCTTTGTCTTGGTCACTCGGCCTGGAGGAAACAGACCAATGCGGTGGCGGTGGTCAGATACATAGGGGTGGTGATGATCAGAGGGATGAAGTCTAGATCCTGGTGGAGTGAGGTGTACAAACAGGGCGAAGCCAAATCCCTGGGGCAGGGAGGAGCCAGCACCATGGAGAGGGCCCTGGGGGTGGGGGTGGGGCGGGGAAGGCCCGGAGGCGCTGGAGGCACGGATCTGGCAAGAGCTCCCTCCATCTACCCTACCCTCGACCACAACTCTCCGGGCGGGGGCTAGGAGAGAGACTGGACGTGAGCAGTGTCTTGGGATGCGCCCTGCCATTCTGGGTGCAAGTTAAGAATGGTTCTCCCCAACCCCGAGACCCTACGCAGGGGGCCCGCCGCCCCAGCAGAGCCACCTGTCTCCAGCACAATGAAGATGAGGTTCAGATTCTTGAGCCCGGGCTTGATATCCTTCACGAAGGTCTCCGTCGTCATGCTGCCCGAGCCTCAGCACCCCACTAGAAGGGGGGAAGGGGATGAAGGTTCAATGCATGGACCTTCCCGTGTCCACTTCGCAAGGCCTACCTACCACGCTAGGCTGGTCAGGCAGCCCTAAACCATATAACTCTTCTAAAAGGGTAGAAACAAACTTCCCCGTGGCCCTCCAACTTCAAGATCAGAATTTAAGGGGCCTCTGGACTGGCTGCTTCGGGGCTGGAAGTCCCCCCTCCCCCGAGGCTTTCAGTCTCAAGTCCCGAAGTGGGGAAGCCGATGGAAACCGGGGCAGAGAACCTGATGCAGAGCCAAGGAATGGAATCTCACTAGCCACACCTTCCCGAACCCTCATCTGGACAATCCGGGACTCAGTCCATCCTCTCGCCCACCACCCACCCAGCCAGCCCGCCGGACTGTGCACGCCGCCGAGTCGCCCGCAGGGGGAGCCAAAGGTCCCCAGGCCGCCGGATGCGGACCAATGGAACGCAGGAGTCAGAACATTCCCGGAAGTTTCCCCCGGCCGGCCGCCTCCAGCCAATCAGCACTGCCCCGGCTCGCCACCCGACCAATCGGGATTCGAGATTCACGCGCCGCGAAAGGGGTGGGATTTTAGGTATTAAAGGAGCCTCAGAGAGGGTTGACTGAGCAAAGAACAACAAAGACCGCAAGGGGGCGCCTCAGGTCCCAATTTCCTTCCACTTGACGAGGCGCAAGAACTAAGAGAAGGCTCCAAGATTTTCTCCTAGTCGTGACACAGTGGAAACAGGACCAAAGGTTTTTTTGGAATCCAGAGGACAAAAGCATAAAAACAAGCTCATCACTTCACTTTGTTACTCGACAGTTCTTAAATATGTGATTCCATTTTGCAGACGAGAAAAAGCAGTGCCTAGCACATGTAGAAAACAGTGTCTAGCACATGTAGAAAGCAGTGCCTAGCACATGTAGAAAGCAGTGTCTAGCACATGTAGAAAGCAGTGCCTAGCACATGTAGAAAGCAGTGTCTAGCACATGTAGAAAGCAGTGTCTAGCACACAACAGGCAGTTTCCTCCTCTTCTCCAACTGCTCTAACCCTCATCTTTATTTCTGATTTGGGGCCCTCAAGTTTAATGCAGTAACCAGGTTGGTCAAGATCTCTGGAAAAAAGTAGCATTCACACCAGAGACAGACAATTGGCGGCCTCACTCCTTCCCCCTTGGAAATGATGGAACCTGGGGCTTAGAGAGCAATATTTGCATTAGTTCCTCTCACAGTAGGAAAGGCAACTGTTCTTGAAGTACTCACTCCCTAAACCTCAGGATCCTCAGAGGACTAAAAAGAGGAGACCTGAACCTTTAGTTCCCTTTGGGACTTGATACACAGTCAACAAAATGTAGCTAACTCTGTAGTATTGTGTATAAACCAATTATATATATAAACAATGTACATACATGTGCGTTACCATTTGCCTAGCGAACATCGGTAAAAAATACTGCTTACTATCAGATTAGACTATGAGGCCATGCAATTGTAATGCCTTGGTTTGCTTAATCAATCCCTTACCTTCTTCTAGAGGGCTTTAGGCTCCACCTTGACTTTCCTCGGAGCTCAGGTCCTCTCCCGCCCACAACCCCAGCCACGGTGCTGTACCTTAAGGAAAGCAAACCACAGCCCGGAAAGAGGGACATTTTTATCTCCCTTTTGTCCCCTGAGGTGTTTCAGGCAACTATACAAGTGCTCCGAAGGCCGACGTAAATACGGCGGGAGTGAGACTGGGAGGGAAGCGGGTAACCTTAGATCAAAGCTCTCCGGCAGACACTCCCCCATTCCCCACCCAGGGGCCGCCTTGTTGACCACACATCCACTCCCATGACTATGAGTCATAAGATCAGGAGGCTCCGGGATGCTGACCACGGCTCTGGAAACGGGAGAGGGGCCGGGGAGACGGCAGGTCCCTGCAGGCCAGCCTACTGGCGACGATCTCGCACCAAGCCGCATCAGCCTTAGAGCGCGAACACGTGCAGCCCTCCACAGCGAAGCCTCGCGCTCCCGGAGAGTCGGCCTCCGGCTCGGCCCCAGAGGTTCACGCCGGGAAGAGCATAGAGTCCTCCCTCCCAGATGGCTATCTAGTTCTCCCGGGGACCATAAAGACTTCCGGTCTAGAGCGGAGGCCTGGCTAGCCCCCACTCTCCTCGTTGGCTGCTCGTGGTTTCCAGTCCAGGACTGAGTTAAACAAGGAGGCGGAGCTTGGTGACGGGCTTCCGCCGGGTTGCGCAGCAGCGGTGGGCGGGGCAAAGGTTCCGTCCCACACGGCGGAGAGTGGTCGGAACCCTCTCGCGTCTTCTTCCCCTTCCCCTTCCCCTCCCAGAAAAGGCTGGGACCCGGCACCCGGGCTGTCTCTCGGCCGCAGCGGGTACAGAGAGTCGAGACCGCTTCCAAGGCGGTGCGTACGGCGCCTGCGCGCGCTCCCACTTAAAGGAGGGTGTGGGAAGGAGGGGGCGATGTCCCAGGGGGATTGAGGCGGGGGTTCGCGACGTTGGAGGTCAGGAGAAGGGATGAGAGTAAAGATGAAAAATGGAGGAAGGGAGCAGCAATAGGGAGGAGTCCAGAGGTGATAAAGGGGCGCTGGTGGGTGGGTTGCTGGGGTGATCCATTGGAATGGGGGAGCCTTAAAAAGTGCAGGAGGGGGCCTGGGCTGGCTGGAGGACGGGGAGGAGGGGACTTGAGGGAACAGCGTGGTGTTTAAATAGGCAATGATTGACAGGCCGGGAGCGGAGGAAGGCAACATTCTGAGGGCCAGCCTGGGCAGGGGCCGCGGACCTGAACCCCCGCCCTCGAAGCGCCACAGCTTGGCTCCTCTTCGTGCCTTGTCCTCCTCCTCCGTTCCTTCCCCTCTCTCCCTCCCACCCCTCTCTGTAGGGATCTCACATTCCTTACATCGCTGCCCTGGGTTTGCAGCCAGGCCGTCTTCGCAGGCTGCGCACACCGGAAAGCCTTCTCCAGCCGGCACGCAGAGGAAATTGAGGACTGGGAAGGAGGGAGCTGGAGAAGGAGCGGAAAGCTGAGAGGGGTGAGAGTGTTTCGCTTGAGGGACTGACAGGCACCTTCATTCAGAAACTGACTTCGTTCCACCTAGTAGCAGATGCAGCTGTTAATGAGACCACTGAACCACTGTTCTTGGGGACTGGGCTGTGATAAAGTCTAATCCTTTCCTGTACAGGTGGTTTTAGTCTGACAATAGAGCAAGAAGCTGATATTGTTGCAGGCTGCTAGTTTTCCGCAGATAGGGATGGCAGGGAATCTGAGTGATGCAATAATGTTACTGCCCTGGGTGTCCAGCCCATTTTGTGGCTGCACCTGGATGGAAAAGAAGAAACAAGGTTCTTTCAAGTATTTCCTCATGGACCCTCGGTACTCTCAATTTATTTTGCATTCTATTACTACAAATACCTCATGGTGTTTGTACGAATAGCGGTATGAATAGCAGTATTCCGTATGCTTTCATATTTCTTATGTCATTTGATTTTCCTGGACAATATGTAAGATAGGTAAGTCAAGTTATCATTGTCCCTGCTTGACAGGTGAAGAAATTGAAAACTGCAGAAGGGATACACGGCTTGTTAGAAGTCGTGCAGCTGGCATAGCAGGGACCAGAGTCCAGGTCTCCTGACTCCACGTGCCCCTCTGTGTTGAAAAATCCTGTTTTGTTCTGGTCAAGAGAGCTGTGAGGGGGGACAGCTTTTCCCAGGATGGACAGCTGTTAGTCTGGAACTTGTCTCTAGGAGACTGAACATAGCACTGATTCCTGGAAGCTTTTCTTGAGGTGCAGGGGCGGACGCCAGGCTGTTGGGAAATAGTCTTGTCAAAGTGGAAGAAGCATTGTACATGCCTCTGTATGATGGATGGGAGAGACCTATCAACTCCCCCCTCACTGCCCCCAACTACAGGGAAGAGGAAGTGGACCCGGCCTGGCACCTTTACCCTCCAATTAGTTTTTAAATACTGCACTAACATGTTATGGCTGCTGAGCATAGTACACTAATGAGCCCATGTACCAGACTCAGGATGAGGTGGTCTCTGTTTTGGATAAAAATTGTCATCCTTCCTAACACAGCCCTTAATATTGATCGATGTGAAGGTGAGGAAAGGGATTTGAGTAGTTTCTGTTCTGCATCTGAAGCTCTGTCTGCCTCTACTTGGCTTCATCCTTTCAGTAATGAGAGTCTGGTCTTCCCAGTTGTCTGTCCTGGAGTAATTTCCTGATTGACTGCCTCTTCATTTCTTTTTTTAAAAAAAGCCTGATCCCTTCAGGAATATTTCCGGACTTGAAAGTAGAATTACACCTATACCAATATTCTTGAGTATCTTCTCCTTGTGAAACAGTATTTTCCGAGTGGAGAGTAGGACAGAATTCTTTTTCTATGAAATAATTTATGTGAAAGCGCTTTGGAAACATTAAAGCATCATACTGCGCGCGCGAGCTGTCATGGCCCTCGGTGTCGCGTGGCCACGGATCTGGGCTCGCTGGCGTTCCTTGCAGTTGTAGGCGCTGAATTAAAGCATCTTCTCTGTCTCAGACAGCTCCTCTCCCCTGCCTTGCTTCTTGTCGCTTTCTCTCCCCACCTCAGCTGTGTTTGAATCACGTGGCCCGGGCGTGTGGCTCCTCAGCAGATGACCTCACTCCTTACGGAGGAGCCTGCGAGCCCTGAAACCTGTGGCTCTCAGGGGAGTTGTCTTGTCCTCCTCAACAGACCGTCGGACCCGAGTCTGTCTCGTTTCATTGCCAAGTGCAGGTACTGCTCCTGACTCACCTTCTTCTTCCTTGTTCCTATTAATAGAGTGCTCCTGACAGTGACATCACACCCATCCCCTTGGCGATGGAGCTTGTTACTAGGAAGGAAGACTCAGTCGGAGAATAGCCAACAAGATGGGTTGCTGGGAGCGTCTCCTGAGCGACAGTGAGCGGAGGCATCAGGGGGTCGGAGCCTTGTGAACAGGGAACCTGCCCCCCAACACTTGGAAGGTAAAAAGCGTTGGTTCAGAACCCCCTTCTGGGCCTCAACCTTCTGCTCTGCTACTGTGGATTCCTTCTGCTCTTGAAAACCTGATTCTCAAAACTCTTTTATGCATAAACTTTTCTGTGATTAACCCACATCAGTCTGTTCTTCATGGTATATTTATGTCTTACATGAACTGTTAACTTTTACTTGTTGATAAATTGTTAAGTTTTACTCTTTGTGTGTTTTATATCCTGCGTACTCACTCACTGAACTCAAGCCTGCACATGTGTTTGAGGACGAGGATTATGCTTGCTGTGTCTTTTACATGAAGATGAGGTTGGGGGTGGTCCTTGCTGGTCTTTGAGGCCTGGTCAGCCTCACCCTAGGTGTTAGAGTTGTTAGTTGGGAGTTTTTGAAGATTCTGTGACCTCTGGATGCTTATTTATTTATTTATTTTAAAAAAATATTTATTTATTTGCGTGTGCTGAATCTTAGTCACCTTGTGTGGGATCGAGTTCCCAGACCAGGTATTGAACTCAGGGCCCCTGCATTGGGAGCTTGGAGTCTTAGCCACTGGACCACCAAGGAAGTCCCCCTCTGGATTCTCTTTCAAATTTAACCGATTAAAGTGTGCCGAAGAAGCCTGACTTCAAAAATCTCCTGTGCTAAACCTAGTCTGGATCACAGAATTCTGGAATTAAATGGAACCTTAGAGGCAATGAGGAAACCAAGTTCTAAGAGCTCAGTTCTCTAAGAGAGGGAGTCACATAACTCTAAGGATTCTATTGCTTAGATGCAAAAGACCACTTTCTTTCATGTAGAAAGTCAGGAGAGTTGCCTAAAGAGAGCAAGGTCAAAGTTGACTCATAAAGCCAGGGCACCTTTTATAATGTAATTACCCCTAATTTAGCCTATTTCTGTACTTATGTAGACTTGTATTGTCTCGGATGCTTCATTTCATGTGGAGTAAAGGGAGCTGAGGCCCAGAGACGTGACGTCAGTTGCCCAGGGTCACACACTGCTCGGTGATAGAGCTCGAGTGCCACTCGGGTTTCTAGATTCTCAACTCGGTGTTCTTTTTCCACGTCTATTTCTTTATTGGGAGACAGGAAGATAAGATGAAATGTTTTAGGGACACCCGTGAGGCACCCTTCACCAGCTACTTTCTTCACTAGGTTGAAATTCCTAGGAGTCACCGGTTTCATTACAGTGGAGCAGGTTATGGGGCTCTTTGCCTTAATGTCTGGTGATTTGTAGTAATTGGTGCTGGAGAATTCTCAGCCCTCTGCACCTGTGTTGTATTCAGGGCATGGAGGAGAGAGGAGGAGTAGGAGATGACAGCACTTATGCTTGGATTTTACCAGTATGTTTTTGCCAAGCATTGGTGACAGCATACCCAGTTACCCTAAAATGGGAGCGGTTGCACTAACGTGTGTGCGTGTGAATGTGCATGGCTTGCACATCGGTACATGGGTTCAAGAAACCCTGAATAAGGGAGGGTAAATGTTCAGGCTCCTTTAGAAGCAATCTGTTTTGAATTCCTAGCTCTCTCTGGGA